TTCTCTCCAGTTGCAGCCAATTATAAATCGAATTAGGTGGCAACGAGGTAAACCAAGTAAACGCATTCTTAGTCAAAGAACTAGGGAAATATTTCATCTTTAATTCCTCACTTATCGCTAGGTCCCCACATTCGATCTGATATCGAGCTACATGCTCGATGGTTGATTCACCAACCTCTCCAGCGAATTTGGTGAATTTAGGCACTTTGTATCCTCGAGGTAATTCTGTCTCGAGAATAGCATTTGGAAAAGGTGACACAAAGTACGTTTGATTGGGTGGTCTAAATTCCATCCCTTGTAAATTCATCCTCTGTCCTAACATGTTATTCTGATTGTACATATTTTGAAATCCCTCATTCAAATTCTCATAAATATCATTCCTCACATGTTGGTGTTGATCATTGTTTCTATTTCTCCTCAATAGATATGGGGGATTGATATTAGCATTCTGGTTAACATGATTTTCTACCATTGTTTGTCGAGGCACAGCCAATGCATCCCCGATTCGTGACATTTGGTCTGCTAATATCTCAAAACTAGCAGTAGTGTTTTGAACTAATGGATTTAAAATTGTAGTCAACTGTTGTGATAACATATTCACCATCTCAAAATTGCTCTCATCCATTTGTTATCTAAGTATCCCTAATGAGTTACTGGATATCCCAGTAGCAGTGTTTTCGATAGTCTCAAAATTGGATCGATGATAATCTCTATCGAATATGTATCTTCCATGTTCCAAATTTCCTCTATGATCTAGATTTCCTCTATGATCTAGATTTGGAAGCGTTTGTTGTGTGCCTAAATTCTGCCCACTTCCTGAATTCAGGGGGATTGCTAAGTTTTGAGATGTCCCTAAATTTGGAGGGACTCCAAAATTTTGGGGCATACCTAGTGTTTGAGGCATTCCTAAGTTATATCTTGAATTCCGCTGTGCTGAAGAAGTTCCAGCTCCACTTATATTATTAAGTGAAAACCCAGGAGGTCTTCCACTCATATATGGTCCTACATATGTGGTTGTGGGGTTTCCTACAGTTTGCATATTATTTGGTACCACCACACTAGACCCTACTTGGGTATTTGCTAAGGTGCCTGAATTTTGTTCATTACCCGCAGGTATAGACATATTCGCAGTTGTCGATGTTACAGGCACATTCCCATTATGACTTTGCCCCCCAGTATTTGGTGAGTGTACACCATTCAGACCCTCACTGTTACTCTGGTTATTTGATGAATTTTGACTCATGCTTATAACTCTCCCACTCCTTAATCTCATACACTTTCGAACTAACCAATTTTGTGTATTTTCAACACAAGGCTATCCCTACCTGGCGCGCCAATTTGTTTCTGGTGGAATTTCGATTGATTTCAACCCTCGAGATGTTTTGATACTAACCAAAATTCTACCATGTAAGTTCTTTTTACTTAGGCTAGCAAATTAATTTTCAATCGAAATACATATGAGGATCGAATCTTACCAAGTATCGAAAATGCTACTTTTTTGGTGTTTTGTATTTAAGATGCAGAAAGCAATAAAACGTTGAATCGAAAAACAATACAGGATACTAAATTGCTGAAACCCATAAAGTGCAGAAACCTTACAAATACGTTAAATGTAAATGACAAGGGATCGAAAGAACGGAAATGTAAATGGCAAGGAATCAAGATTGCAGAAAATATACCGGAAATCGAAATTGCATCAATGTTAAAGAACAAGGAAACTTAAACGCGGAAACTTAGCTTTCATTGAATTGAAATGACAAGGAATCGAAAGAGCAAAAAACATAAAATGGCTGAATATAAAGTGCATCAAAACAAATTACCAAGGAAAGTAAAGAAAGCGGTAAAGGTACTCGATGAGCATGGAAATCCAGATTGCCAGAAGCTTCATGGTGTTCGTCATGTTCCGGTAGACTTCTCACTACTAATTCTATTCTCTGCCAATTTTCTGCTCCCCCTTTTCCTTTCATCCTTCGCCCTATTTATAGAGCATCATTTCAGCAAGTAACTTCTTAAGAGCAGTTAATGAAAACTGCTACCACGTCCTACGTGCATGTTGCAGTTTCTTCTTCGGTGTCAAAACTGCACCCACGTTCCCATGATCTTCGACTTCTGTCATGGTTTAAAAAACTGTCTTCACATTCCCATACATGAGGTAACTGCTCCCTTGACCTTCGACTTTTGCTACCGCTTACTATGTTCGATGTATACGTCGACCATTCTTCTTAGCCATCATTTCGATATTCACGTATATTAGCCTTTCCTTCGATTTAGATTTCGCAACTTCAAAAATTTTGGATTTGCTTTTGATTCTCGATATCCTTAACGTTACCAGATTTTGTTTTTTTGATTTTCTTCACCAACGGACGTTAAGCGTTATTCCCTCGATTTTCGATTCCAATTCTCGATATGTTTTTGTTTCCCTTCACTTTCTCGATCCTTTTATAGATTTCTCACTAACAATTATATACAAGTCGGAAGTGATGATGTTGCTACGTTTTAACATCTAATTTATTATTGAACATTGTATGTTTTGTAAATAATATTTTCGCAATGATAAAAATAAATATTCTAGTCTTTTAAATTGTAAATTTTATTTCTGAAATTCAATTTATTTTTTGGTTCTTACATATCTTTTAAAATACTCTTTTAAGTTTTTTTTCTTTTTAAAATATCTTTACGTGATAAACTAAATGCAATTTGTGGTGATTATTTTTCATCACAATTTGGTTTATAATGTAGAAAATAAAAATACTATTTTCTTTTACAATATAAAATCGTCATGATACAGACAAATAAAGTTAATCAAACCTTTACATTTAATTTTTCATATATTATTTTTTTTAAATCCAAAATTAAGCACAAAAAAAAAACAAATTGAAGTGTAAACTCGTATGAATTGTTCTTCATCATCCATTAGTGCCCTAAAATCTCAAGTGATATTTCCTACCATGAGAAGCATGGAGGAAGATGTGGGCTTGAAACAGAAGATGAAAAGTATTGTCTGTGTTCAATTAGTCTGATAAACACAATATGTCATATATGTACACTCTAATTAAGATAACAAAATAAATAGATTATAAATATGTCAAAATAAATAAGATAAGTAAACTTTGATTCAAGGACATGCGAAAGATAGAACTTTATTTATAAAGTAGTAGGTTTTAATTTTGTGTCCAGCAAACGAAATAAGGTGTAATAATATGCAAAATATTCAATTTTTTTAACCACATATATTTATACACATAAGTAGTCTCGATTTAGAAATATGTTAATTATTTGTTTTTCTATCACATGTTTCTATCCAAATTATTAAAGAAGAAATATATGTATTATGAATTAAAACAATGAAAAAAACTGAGGTAAACTCAAGTAATTTAAAAGGAGAGGATGTTCTTGTTTATTATTTATTTTAACCAATAAAAACAATATTTTATTATATTTTCGTGAGGTGAACACCACATGATATTAGTAAATAATAATAAAAACGTGTATAACCCTATAAGGTCTGGTCATGTAGAGTTTTTCTTGACCAATTAGTCCTAAGTGTTAAAAGATAGAAAAAAATTACCTTATTTTTATTTGGGTAAAGTCTAACCCCTATTTGCACACAAAAAAAATAGTTCTCTTAACTTCACTCGTTTTGTTGTTATCAGTTATACATATTTTTTCAATCTGTATTCCTTAAAATTAGTACTTTTTATACCAAAGGTAAATATATTTTTTTATTATTAATTTATATATACTAAATAAAAATTTATCAATAAGCCCGTCTAGCTCAGTTGGTAGAGCGCAAGGCTCTTAACCTTGTGGTCGTGGGTTCGAGCCCCACGGTGGGCGAAATTTGATTTAATTTTTGGATGAAAAATTCACCTTTGTTTCATTTCTTTGATCTCCGTTTCCCGTATCCTTTTGTTCCGTTCTGCTCCTTTCCACCTAAATCTTGTGTCATATCCACTGTAGATATTGCTATGAATTACTTTTCCATAATGGTGATTCTAGCTTCAATTGCCTATTTGCAATTATTTCACTAAACTACCTGATAGCATGCATGGTGATGAATCAAAAATTCATCTTTGCATTAATAATTTCTTTTCCATAATGGTGATTCTGGCTACAATTGCCTATTTGCAATTATTTCACTAAGCTACTTGATAACATGCATGGTGAGTGGTGATGATGAAGCAACAGGAGAAAAGGTAAGAAAAGATGATAAAAAAATGTAGAAATAGACAAATACAAAAGATTGCCTTATTTTTATTTAGGATAAAATTTAACCCCTGGTATAAAAACACAAAAAAGATATCACTCTTAAGATCCACTCATTTTGGTCATTGCCTATTAAGCATCCCTTTCTTTCAAACCTTATTCTTTAGTATTTTTCTTGTTGAACACATAGCAAAGCTATGCCGCCAAAACAATATGGAGGTAAGTGGTGGAGAGAAATGGAGATATTAAGGAAGAATGTTTTGTGGTCTGTCAACATAATCCATTGGTGTCCTAAGATTGTGTCTTCGATTAAACTTTTGTCTTAGATTAATCTAGCTCCATCATGAAATAAATAAAATCTAGTCACTTGTGACACCAAAAAATTATAAGAATAGGAGGGATTGACGTGAAGGAGAGCCAGGGGTAGAGTGGAGAAGAAAGAGAACAACCTTTTCTATTTTATTCTAAGGAGCTTTGGATACTCCCACATAAAAAATAAATAAACAATTAGATGATAAAAATTAAGTAGGGTCAATACAATAAAAAAGTTCATAATTGAAGTTTAGTATCTTCTTTGGACATGCAACAATTGCAATGGAATATCTGAACGCGGAGTTTAGTGTTGTGTACGATGGTGATAAGAAAAATAGGAGCAAGAAATTTCCTTAGATAGTAGTACCCAGTTCTATTATATATATAATGCCATTCTAACGGATTGTAAATGAAGCAAAGCAATCCACAGGTATCCAAAGCTATGCAGGGTTTTAATTTTTAACCCGAATCACCTTCATTTCATGTATGATTCCTACTTCCTAGCCATGAAACTCTGTTTCTTTTTCCTCCTCTTGACGACAACGTTGTCACAGTCCCAACCAGACCGTTTCATCAGACCCCTTCGTGGGAGTAACCGAGAATACTTCGAGGTGGGTTACCCTCCGCCGTCACACGAACCAACTCCGTCGTGCAGCCACCGTGTCCTCCACCACTCTTTCGCCAACACCATCGACTCTCCTCCCTACACGACCTCCTACAGCCCTCCCTCCCGGTGCCCCGCCCCATGGTCCAGCGTCGTGCTCCACTTCCACGCCCGCTGCAAGGGCGAACAGTACGACCGCATCGCCGCTATCTGGCTCGCCGGCGCCGAGATCCTCCGCACCAGTACCGCGGAGCCAACCGTCGATGGCATCTTCTGGAATGTCCGCAAGGATGTCACCAGATACTCCTCCCTCCTTGCCAAATCCAACCTCGACCTCACCATGATGCTCGAAAACATCGTCAACAACGAGTTCACCGGCGTCTACCACGTCACCGTCACTCTCCTCTACTACAACGAGTACGCCGTTAAAGCCCCCGTCAGGGTTCCGTTTGTCCCCTGCCCCGAGGAGCTCACTTTCAATCCAATTTCTCTGCCCAAATCTCGATCTCTTATCCAGGATCCTGGCTCCAGAGGCGTGAACGAGTCGCCAGCGGATTTGATTATTCCGATCTCCGACGACGGGCGGCGAGGGTTTTGGTTCAAGGTGGAGGAGGAGAAAAATTCCTGCTCCCAGAAAATTCGAATTCCGAGAAACACCTACCGTGCGGTGCTTGAATTATACGTTTCTTTTCACGGAAATGACGAGTTTTGGTACTCGAACCCGCCGAATTCGTACATCACGGCAAATGGTTTGGCGACGGAGCGTGGGAACGGCGCGTACAGGGAAGTGTACGTGACGATCGATGGGCAGGTTGTCGGGTGGGAGATTCCGTTTCCGGTGATATTCACAGGTGGGATCAACCCTTTGTTCTGGGAGCCCATGGTGGCGATTGGGGCTTTTGACCTTCCCTCGTACGACATCGATTTGACGCCGTTTTTGGGAATGGTTCTGGATGGGAAGGAACACGTGTTCGGAATAGGGGTGGTGAAGGGTATATCTTACTGGCTGGTGAACGCAAACTTGCACCTTTGGTTGGACCATGAATCCAAGGTGGTTCACGCTAATCCTGTGGTTCATCACAGTCCTGAAACTTCAGTCGAACGGCAAGAGGAGTTTCGAGGGCTTGATGGGGCGTTTGATGTGGACGCGGAGAAGGAAACGCATATCTCGGGGTGGGTAATGACAAGTGCTGGCAACATAACCACCACGGTTTCTCAGGGGTTCTCGTTTAAGAACTTTATAAAGTTCCAACACAAAGGGACTATCAAGACCGTTAAGCAGAAGTTCAAGGCAAAGAAAAAAGTGAAGGTGATCGATGGAAGAGGTGAATCTATCACTAGGTTGAAGGTTAGGCGAAGGTACCCTTTGAGGTTTGTCACCACCACGCAGGAGTTTCCGGATGGGACGTACCGACTTGTCACCGATCTTTCTCACATTCTCGATGAAAAACATGTAAGTGGATGCTTCGCGAAAACGATTACCAATGCCCAGAATTCGAAGGGGTGGATCGAGGTGAAGGGTCACTCTGTTGTGTCGGGTCAGGCAAGCACCACGCAGAATTATAGTTATGTCGATAGGTTCAGCTGCTACTCCCGGAATGTTGCCGCGGCTAATGGAAAGATTGTCTCGGATAATTCAACTTTTGTTTGTGAATTGTGAAGATTCTTTCAAGTTTCTTTTCCCGTACATGTATTTATTATGTAGTTTCCTGCATAGGGTTTTAGTTTTATTTTTTTCTAGGGGAGGAATGTGTAGTGGTGTAGTATCTTTTGAATATGCATGGATGTATGTATTGATTCCACACGTGCCACTGTGCCTGGATCTAGAGACCGAAGGAAAGCACAAGCTAATAAATCTAAAAGGCTTCTTCTCCGTAGGCAAGGATCCTGTACATGTTGTGAAAACAAGGATCATATATCATATATGTATGGCTCCTGGCAGAGTAGAGCTTGCACATGAGCAATTTCTGCTTAAAGAATTATGCAGTTCGTGGCCTTGAGGCTATCTATGCAAGTCTCTAACATAAGCCTTAAAGGGTGTTTTTGGCTTAAGAAAATCTTTTATCATATTCTACTTTTACTTTGTTTCTTATTTTCAAAAGCCAGTGCACAGTGTGATGAAAAAAGAAAATGAAAATAGACAACAAAATAGTTGTCTTGAACTATTTTTATATCCGTACTTTTGAAAGTAATGAATAAAGTATAAAAAATGTTACATTTTTGTAATACATTCTGCATGATAATTTGTTTTTCTGAGCTGCCCAACAAGCGCATGAGCATGAACGAAATTGCTCATAACCATTGCTTGCCAAAGTTATGGTAAAGACAAACGCATGTCACAACATGAGTATCCGGAAAAGAAATATATTAGAAAGACAAAATCCTCCGTATTACTATTAACCATAAATAGATGTCTGGTTAACAAATTTCACACTCAGACAAGATTACTTGTCGAATAAATATTCCTTTCTCAAAATTCATTTTTTCTGCATCTATTTTTTATCCATGATATACCGAAACACCATACGTAGGTGATTCAAGAGCTCGTAGGTCGCCAGAAACCCTTCCTACCTACAAGAAACTGATCTTGATGCAATGTTACAGACCAGTGAAGTGAACGCAAGATTGGATTGAGCTTGTTAAGCATCTCAAGAGAATCGTGAACCACGAGATATCCATTTGGTCTCACTATGCGATCAAACTCCACAGCCACATCTAAAATGTCACATCTGACAAAAAGTGTTCATTATCAGACTCATATACGTATTTTTTAACACACACCTACGCTGTGTAGAAGTGATAGAGTACTTGCATAATAGTAATAAAAGGAGAAATAACATGATCTTGTATATGATTTCTTCAATAAGCATACCTTTGCTCAATATATTTGAAAAGAAAGCTAGAATGAAGAAGATCGTATGTGCGAGGATAGGTACTAAAGGACTCGCACCAATCATGATACATTCCTATTAACCCTCTGTCCATTATAATACTAAGAGTATCAGGCACATCAATAGGTACTACATTCATCACCCAGACTGGTAGATCAATGAGAGCTGCTGCAAATCTGCAAATAACAGACGTGGTATCAGTTGCAAGGAAACTAGGAGGAAATATGCCATTGTTAAATCATGTGTAGGTCTGAATGAATATCTAGTGTATGGGTTAATATACTACCAATGCCCTCGAAATGGTATAAAAATTACTTTACCCTGCATAACCAGCATTCATGTCCATTACATTTCGAACACTTGACCAATTTATAGGAAGACCTTTTAAATAAACATCTGAAACTAGTTCAGACCAGTGTTTGCTGTCCTTCAAGAACTTGTCCCTGGAAACTGAATCAGTAGGTAAGCTTGGTGGCTTACTGGTAAGCCTCTGGGGCCACGGCTTAGGCCAGCTCTGCAGGTTACCCTTATCATCAACCGGAAGAGGAGTAAGGCAACTATTGAGCCTGGTATACCTAAACATTAGCATAAGCATGCGGAGGAAATTAGCAAAGATAGAAACTACACTAAGCATAGTACTACCTTCCAGTTCATAAGCAAGAAAAAAAAAAAACTAATTTCACAAAGATTTAAGGAAATTGATTAACTACATTAAATTTCATTAATATTTCAATATTATTCTTAAAATGCCTTTCTCCTAATACAAAATGTTCATATTATGATAGTGTAGCAAAAAGTCAGACATTAATTAAAATTGGGGTATTTTAGGACAAGTATAATTTAATAAAATAAAAGTAGTTACAATTTGCTTATATTTGAGAACAAACAAATGTGATCTATTAGCTGAGAATGGAGGTAGAAATAGGTCTCTTTGGCCTTTTTCTTAGGGAAAATATTCATTTCTTTCGTGTTGGTATTGTGGAGGCATAACCATTATAGAAATAAGATCCCAGAAAGAGAGAAAATACCATGAGCTATTCTTCCCATCTTCATTTTCACATAAAGGTGGATAGTTCTCTTTACGTTTCTCATAGCAAGAAGATGAGGTAGGCTTCTGATATATAACAAGTCCAATTCCAGATGAATCTTGAGCCTTAGCCACAACCTTCCAGCACATGGCTTTTGTTATATCCACCATGGCTGCAGTTTGAAAAAAAAAAAAAAAAACTTAAACATAAGAGCTAAGAAGACAGAACAAATTTGTTTCGGGCATCAAGGTTAGGTCATCCACAAATTCAACATCTCATTGTATTAAATAAGATAAATTCTGAACACAGATGAAAAAATTATAACTACTGAAGAAGGAAAGACAATGACATAAATAGACACAGTGAAAGTGAGAGAAAAAGAGAAAGACAAACCATTCCATACTTTCTGATCTCTTTCATCATCACGGTAAACTGGTGTTGCAGACCATGCAAAGAAACCACCAGGTCTAAGAATCCTATTGAGCTCAAATAAGGGCTTCCCACCTAAAGTTGTGACAATATTTGTGAATAAACATCACTTACAGAGATTGACATAAATGGAACATGGAACGCAGTGCTGATATGGGAAGTGGAAGCAAGAAAAAAGATAAGTACCATCTGCATCCCAATGAACCCTACATCGTGCACAATGTATCAAATCATATCCATTATCAGGAAAAGTCAACTTTTGTGTTCCAATGACAGAAAGAGTTGCAGGAATTCCTCGTTCCAAAGCAAACTGTATCTGAGCTTCATGTTCATCCTTTGGGGCAAATGACATGGTAATAACATTTTTGTCCAGCAAATAGCCACCAAAGCTAGCTACACCACAGCCAACATCTAGAACAACCCTGGTATGCTTTCCCCATTTAATTGCTGGTAATGTCTAGTGTATAAACAAAAAATAAATAAAATAAAAAATCACCAAACCACAAAAAGGAACTAAGCATTAAAAAACATAAATGTACTGGTTTAGGTCATGCATAAATCAAAACGAAATATTGCTAAGCCCTCATTACAACAAAATATCATCTATAAGACACCTCAGTTGGTTAAGAGACTAGGATGTATATATATTACCTTGACCTCAATTATTAAATGATGTGGAACTTATGACTATATGTCGGAACATAAGCCCTCATTACAACAAAATGCCATCTATTTTATTGGTTAAAACAATAAATGGATGCCAACTACTGTAAGTTAAAAGATACCAAGTGTTTTTGTGATATCTTAGACACTTCCATCAATCCTACTAGTGATAAGCAACAAAGCAAAGCACTACATCTAACAGTACTAAGCAAAACAAGTTCAATTACTGCTCTGCCTAGCATTTCAATAATTGAGTACAGTTCATCGGTATCTATAACAGTCAAACATGGAGAATAAAAGATTAAAGCGCATATCATGGTAAATCATGTGAATCCAGATGGAAAAATACCTTTTGTATGAAACCAATATAATGATCAACTCCATCTTTGAATTGAGTACCACCACCTGGAAAAACTAGATATTCCCCAGACTTTACTACCCAGTGTTGGTCTTTCTTGTACTCCACCAGCTTTGGATACGGGACGTTATTATACCAAATCTGGAAATAAAGAAAATATAAAACTCCTTCTCCCCTGATTCCACGACTAGTTAAAAGACTCACATAGTACTTAACTAAAAACAAATCAACACTACTTTCATCACTTCATCAGAATAAATTGGCATGTGACAAATCATAAGAAAAACCCATTTAGAATACAATCCAACAATTAATTCAATAACCTGCAGAATGATATGAAACTGATTAAAGAGCACCACAATAACAATTATTCAATTTTTTTATGAATCCCACCTTATCTCTGCTCTTAGGCCACGGAACGGGGACTTTATACCCTTTGGGAAGAGGCAACAAGCAGCGAAGATTAGTCTCAGGGCAATGCCTTTCCCTGTGCTCCATGTGCCTCCTCGACTTAAGAGCCTTAATGGCCTTAGAATTATCCAAACAGGGAATAAAATCAACAGTCTGCGGGTCCTCACACAGCTTCCAATCGATGCTCACAGCATGCTCCTCTTGGGGCAAACCTTGGTCTTCTTCAGCTGTGACATTGGTTACGTTTGGAGGTAGCTCTTGCTCTTTGGGTTTTGAAGCATGAAGAGGGGGGGCTTGGTGTTGGATAACAGAATAGAAAGCAACAGGGTTTGAGGTGGTGTTGGAGAAACTGAAAAGGAAGAGCGTGACGCAAATGAGCAATATTAAAAGAGTGAAAATGAAAGGGTATTTCCTCTCCTTGAAGAAGTCTTCGATTACAATTGCCATCTTGGTTTCTCACTCTGCTGGGAAACACAGTATCTATGGAGATGATACATGGGCTCACGAAGAATACGAGAAATGTCGCTATCAGAACGAAGAACAAAGGATAGAAATCTGTTGATCGTGTGGTTGTCCTTTGGATCCTCAAAGACTGTGTTCTTTGGTGGTCAGATTCAGAATTCAAAAACCACAGCTTCAACTCAATCCTAGGTTCTCGCTCTCTGCAACCGACGCGTTGACACTGACAGTGGTAGCGTTGAGCTTTGTTTTACTAGTTACCTACCCACTTCCTGTTATCATTGAAAGTGTAAAATTAACAGACGTTAATTTATTTATTTTTTAAAGAATGAAAAAATTTATTTAAAATTTATAAAAAGTGCGATAATTATGTTCTGAGGCTAAGTTTTGTTAGTTTTACTATGAAATTATTTTATTTAAATATTATTATTTCAACAACAAAAAAAACGATTTAGGATTGAATTCACTCTTATAATTTTGTGATTGTGAAAATTTTGATTTTTATAAAAATTCAATTGTAAAATTTTTTTTTCAAATTAAACAAATTTTCCATGGTTATATTGTATTGGTAGGAATTATATGTATTAAAGTTTGTTAATCCATCTAATTAGGCTAAATATTTCAAAATGACTGGGAGTTAAGTTGTACCTGATAGAAGACTTAGACCCAATCTCTGACTTTTTCCTTCTCATTTACAAAAATGTAGTATTTTCTGTTAGCAATTATATGTCATATTAATGACAGATTAAAATTATTTTAATTTGAAAAATTCAGAGATAAATATGCAATCAAAATTGTACAGCCTTTATATATTACTTTCATTCTCATCTATAAGCAAACAAATTTCCACACAAATTAAAAAAAAAAATCAGTTAATTACATTACACTTTATTAATTTCTTAATCATTTTCCTAAAATATTTTTCTTGTAAATAATATATATATATATATATATATTAATTATGATGATCCAACCAAAGTTATTTTAAAAAAATTAAGGTATTTTATGAAAAATATGTAAAAGTATTTAAACATTGTTTATATTTGATTTTTTTTTTATATAATTTAGGGCAAATTAGTTGTTTGGTAAATATTTGTAGAGTTTGGTAGGAAACACAGAACAAAATTCTTTACTCTAGTTGTAGAGTTTTTTGTGGAGATTTAAATATTAAAGATACATAATTATTATAACGAAAATTAATATAATATTTATAAATGACAAATAATTAGGAATATAAAATTTCAAAAACTAAGAATTAAAAATAATGGTTTGGTTAATTTGTATATTAATTACTTTATTTTATTAGTTCATGTATTCAATTTTTTTCTATAATTTTACCTATTCATAAATATATATATATATATATATATGTTTAAAAATAAAAATTAAAAGATTTTATATAAAATAATATAATAATAATAAATAAATTTAATCAAAATATCATAATAAAAAAACAAAGATAAGTATAAAAAAAAATTTCACTCAAGTCATTATAATAAAAATAAAACAAAAAAAAATCATTAAAATTTTTTAATAGAGAAAAAATAGGAAAAATAAAATAAAATTGATAATTACCTTAAAATAGGATCATATTGTTTAAATAGAATTTGTCAAAATCGCATTATCATTAATAATTCTAGAGAGAAAAATATGAAAATAAAAATTTTGTTAGTTTTTTTCTACAGATTTATAAAGCGTATAAATAAAAATAATTAAAAAATAATAAATACAAGATAAAAAGAAAAAAAGTTTGAAATTATAAAAAGATAAAAATTTATTTTTTTTTCTGTGTAAATTAAAAAAAAAGTTATACTCTTTTATTTATTTTTTTAGTTATTCTCAATTACAAGAAAATAATTTACTTAGCACTAACTTAGTAAATAAGTTAATTCATTAAATTGTATTAATATCTTATGTATGAAAATTACATTTATAGTAACTTTCAATGTAATTACTACAGTCAAAGTCTCAAAATTGTAAACTTTTTTTTAAAATATTAATTCACAATATATTTTTTCAAACAACTCAACTATAACTTCATTTATTAATAAAATAATAATTTTTAAATAATTTTATTTTAACTATAACATTATAATATTAATAAAATAAGTTGTAAATGAGATGTTGGTTAAAAATGGATTGTCTATGAATAACTATAGAAATTTTTTCATACTGTCTGGTTTAAGATTCTTTAGAAAACAGTGTTGTTATGAATTAAAATAATTTAGAGAAAAAAAAACGTTTCATAATTATGTTTTATATCAGCTATAATTTATAAATACGAATGTGGATATAATTTATTTGGAAGAGAACTAAAAACTATAACAATTAAAATTTCATTGAAACTAATAACATCAATTAATTTTCTCAAACATTAATACTATCAATTTTTGTTTATTTTGACTTTTTATTGAATCAGGCTGTAACTTTGGCTAGAAAAATTAGGAGGGTTTTCTGAATCATGAAACTCCTGCATTTGTGTGTACCTATTGACCAATTTACATTTTAATCAATAAAATTCTAATAATAAATTATAAGATATAAAGTGCGAAAAAGTTTAATATTCCTAAAAGTATTAATTATTTAAAATGATAAATATCCTTTATTTGTTCAAAACTGTTGAAAACTTATTGTAAAATAATTAAAACTTCATTTAATTAATAAAATCACGCTATTTTAATACATTTAAATAAATTCAAATTTCAGAATAAATATATTTAAATATTAACTAAAAAAATATATCAGTATTAAATAAAATTGGATTTTAAATAATTATATATTAGTATTTATTATGTTTATTTTTGTTTAATTTATAAATTTCATAACGGTATTAAATTTGTTCTATTACAAACTTTTAATTAACTTAATTTTTTAAAATGTTTTTTCTATTAATAATGAAACTAATCATCATTATAATTATATTAAAAGTACTATGATATATTTTAAGTTCATACATTTTTTTAAATTGCTAAATATAAATATAAAAAGTATAAATATAATAGTAGTATAGTAGATAAATATAAAATTAATAGAGAACTGAAAATTAACCAAAAAAATATAATAGAATAATGATAAAAATAGTATAACTAATATAAACAAAATAGACAATAAAAAAATGAATTGAATACACTTTTACTTTAGATAATTCTACTTGTAATAAAAAAAATTAATAATATTTTAGTGATTTGTAAATAATATTATTATTTCTTAGATCAATGACTGGATATTTTCCGGCATTAAACGATATACTAATTACATTATACATTAATTGACAAAAAGCACACGTGTGTGTATATATATATATATATATATATATATATATATATATATATATATATATATATATATATATATTTATTTATTGTTTAATATGTGATATTTTCTCTCATTTAAATTTCTTTATTTCAAACGCATCCTTATAAAATGTTTTTATTTTATTTTAGTTCTCCACTCTATTGTTTCGTTTCTTAGAAAATCTCAGCTTATATGTCATCACTCGATAGAGAAAACAACTCTTGATGTCCCAAAGAGTAAAATGAATTTAAAAAAAAAAAAAAAAAATAAATATATATATATATATATATATATATATATATATATATTATCTAAAGATTTTAGTATTATTGGTTGATTATGTATATGGTGCACATATAAATTTATAAAAAGTTAAATTACACTGATAAATTATTGAAAAAGTAATAATTTATAAAACAGAAAAAGAAATTAAACTATGAAAAGTAAAGATGACTTAAGAAGAATATAACATTTTTGCATTGAATTATTTTTTTATTGATTCTCCATAGACGACAAAGAAAAATACAAAGTTACTTATAGAAAGTATTATTCTGTTTAAAATTCTACCTCCTTCTTGCAGGTACTTCATTCCACTTAAAACATTCAACAGACATTGCCTTAATCTTACAAGGTCCTGTTTCAAATATCTGCCATGAACACACATTATTGTGACATTCTCCATCTCGTTGTTCTACATATATATCAAAATAATGTGCTTCTTCCAACCATTCAAAATGACAAAAGTACAAAGTTACATTGAAATATAAATTAGGAGTAATTGTGAAACTATATGTTTCACCAACCTCCATTGTATAATAACCGAGATCATGATGTTTGTCCTTACAATGAACAATTAGGTGTCTCTTAGTTAAATGGTTGTTGATGGCAACAGTAATTCTGATAGGACCGATCCGATCTATTGCGTCTGGAGATAAAACTTCATTCACAGTATCTTTCACCTGCAAAGCAAGAAGTATCATTAACAACCCAAAAAACACCAACCTAGTTTTAGAGATAAAAACCATATTTGCTCAATAGTTTGATAGTGTTGAAATTTCTTTCATATTCTCATATATATATATATATATATATATATATATATATATATATATATATATATATAATTTTTCAAAATTATATCTGCTTTTTAAAAATTACAAAACAAAATTAAATTAAATAAATTCTTATTTTCTCATTTTGACTATTTATGTTTTAATTTAATAATATAAAATAATACTCATCTCAGATAAAAAATAGTTTTTTTTTTATTAAAAAATCTTTTCATATATATTAGTCAAATGTATGGATTCAATGTAACCATATCAGTCATTTATTGCTATTTAATATTTTTTGTATTTATCTATATATTTAATGAGACATTAAATGTTTTTCCACAGAATTCTTAATTGTGGTTTTGTGCTCTCATTCCCATAACCACTGGGATGCTTATTGTGGTTTTGCGTTACTTCAGTAGTTTAATTTCATAAAATATCATATAAAAATTAATAATTTATTTTTTTTACGAGCTAAACGAATTATTAATATATATATATATGATTTATTTATCGATTATTTTTTATATCATTTGTATTTATAATTATGGTTTAACCATCATAAGAATGTATAATAATACTTCCAAAATATATTTCACACATTTGTGATTCTTATATAAAAATATTTAAATTTTATAAATAATTAAAATAATAGTTAAAAATATTTATTCTTAAGGTAGTTAAGTAAAATGAAATAAGATTTTGAATATTGATATATCAAATTGCTTTTTCATTTAATGTTTTTATTTAAAAAAATTTATGAGATTCAACCCTATAAATAATATATTTTAAAAAAATTTTATTTAATTAAAATATTTATTAATTTATCTATCAAGTTGACCAATTTATTATTCATGTGCAATTTTTATTCTCTCTTCTCACAAAATTTTGTTATATTTTCTCTTTCTTTATTTTTTATTTTTAATCTTATATCCCTTATTTTTCTCTCTTCTCTCCAGTTTATTCGTCTAATTAAACCTACTATATACAATTTAATAAAATATTTTAATATATTTTTTTAAATCATTGAAACTAAAATTATTTTATCATATAATAAATTAATTAATTATCTAATTAAAAAATATCAAATATTTATGAGTTAAAAAGTTTTTTTGTTTAATAATTTAATCTACTTATAATTAATTTGAGTTAATATTAATCATATTAAATACTTTTAAAAGATTATTTATTAAAATTATTTTAAAATAATTTTTTCTTTATAATTATAACATAACAATATATAATACCTCAAATTTAACATATAATATTTTTTTAAATATTATATGTTAAATTACAGTATTTTTAGATAATTTAAATAGTTTTATTTATTAAAAATAATAAAAGATTTATTTTATCAAAATTTAATTTAATATTTTTAATTAAAAAAATAAAGGAGTCAAGAGAGAAATAAATAAAAACAAAACAAGATGTAAGAATAATAAGAAGTAATGAAGCGAGAAAAAAATGGAAAAACAAATAATGAAAGAGAAAAAAACTATATTATGTTAGAAAAAAATATTTTCTATTATTAAATTTTGTATAATAATAATAATAATAAATAGAGTAAATAAATATAAACTAATACAAATTATATTTAAGTTTTTTTTAATATGTTCTATATTTGATTGATTCCAATTATAAAGTACTAAACAATTATTTTAAATGACGAAATACCTAAATATTCCCATTTTGTCAGTGAAAAAAATGATGAATTATCCAAACTATATTTTTGTCTGTATACATTTAAAAGGTTTGTGCATCGCAAAGTTTCAAATATAAAAGAATATAAGAACAAAAGTGAAAAAAAAAAATCTAGGCAAAATGTAAACTTCAAAACACAATAAATAAATAAATAAATAAAATTATATATATATATATATATATATATATATATATATATATATATATATATATATATATATATATATATATATATATATATATATATAAAAGCCTCAGATTAGTGATGGTCCATTTAAAATAAGTAGAGTGTTTTTTAGGATTTGTTAGGTAATAAAAAAAGCAAAAAAAAGTAAACAATATTTATATTTGTTTAAAAATATAAAAATGAAAAAAATATTTATTTTAAAAATAACAAATAATTAAATTAAAATTATTTATTTATTCCATTATAAAATTATTTATGTAAATTTTAATTAATTTTTATTAATAAAAATAAAATTGTAAAAAATATCATTTGATTGATATTTTATTTTTTAATAATATACAGTTTAATATATAGTTATGAAATATTTTTTACTATAAAATTATTTATTTCTACAAATATTTGAAATTAAATTAAATTAATTTTTATTTTTATAATTATTTTCATATTTAAGATATTTATCAAAATAATAATTAAAAGTATACCTATTATAGTTTTGTAAACATATATATATATATATATATATATATATATACATATATATATATATACATATATATATATATATATATATAAATTATAAATATAAAATTCAATAATTATTTATTTATTTATTTAAGGATGAGTAATTTTGTAAAATGATATTTATTTTTTATTTTTTCCGCTCAGAGTGAAAAATAAAGATATATGTTATAATGAAATGTAAAATTTTTGTGTCACTTTTATAAAAAAAAATTCTGTTTAAGTTATTTTTTATTCCATATTTTTTTAACAGAGGATGTAAATTTTTAATTGGTCTTATTTAAAATATAATCATAAATATCATAACGTCATAATCACGAATTACTTCTTTAATTCTAGGTAATTATTTTTATTAAATATTTTTATATGCGTGATAATATAACATGGATAAGGGTGAATAACATTAATATAACATGTTATTGGATTAAAATTGTCTTTAATTTCAACAAAGATTAAAAAGGAGAAATAGAAAAGTTTTATATAAAATTAGTTTTATATATTTAAAAGTGGTTTAATTCCACTCAAAACATTGACGATAATTGTTACCAATCTTACATGGTCCAGATTCAAATATTTGCCATGAACATAGATTATGAAGACATTCTCCATCTCGCTTCTGTTCATAGATATCAAAATAACGGTCCATTGTTGGCCATACAAAGCGACAGAAGTATAATGTTTTAGGAAAAAATATACTAGGAAATAGACTAAAACTATATATTTCACCGACATTTAGTCTATGCCGACCAAGATCATGATGTTTGTCTTTGCAATGAAGAGTTAAATATGTGAAGGTTAAGTGATTTGATATTTCAACATATACTTTGGTGGGAATAATTGCTTCTGTTCCTTTAGGAGCTAAAACTCTGCTCTCGCCGTTCTTCACTTGCAAAACAAGAATAATCACTATGAATATAGGATATCCTGACATGATTCTGGAGATTGAATTTATCATTGTTCAAGATAACTTGATATTCTGGCTTCAAAGGTTTTAGTTTCTTGTTTTTGAAGTTGTGTAGATACATATACAACGAGTCTTAAATGTACAGATGAAATATAATTGAAAATCATTTATTACTATTTAATATTTTTGTTTTTATTCATTAAATGAGACATTGAATTTAGGTTCGGTTGCAAAGGAAAAAATGGTAAAAAAATAAATATACTCATTTATTTTAGACAAAGAAAATGACATAAAAGAAATTCATCATTTTAGAAAATAATAAATTAGTTAAAATTAAGTAATTATATGATTACAAAATTATTTATATATTTATCATTTATTTTGGAGAGAAATGAGAGAATTAATTTTGATTTTTTTTTCTTATATTTGCATTTTTTTATTCATAAGAATTATCCATAATAAAAAAATAAAACATATAAGGTCAGTTTAAAAGTGATATTTTTTATTAGTTTCTTTATTATTAAATCAGAGAATTATTATTATTTATTTATTTATATGTGTTAATTATTTTTTACCTAATTTTTTTTAATTAATATAACATCTCAAAATATGTATAAAACATATTATTTAATTTTAAATGAATAAGATGTTTTTAAAATATTGATTACTCTTTTGTTAGAGATTATTTTTTTTATACATTTGAACTATTATAAAAATCTAGAATGTTGACACCTACGTCATTTGTTCTCTACGGAAAATCATGATCAGTTAAATAAATAATATATAAAATACACAATATAAAGATAAAGATAAACTGATATTTTAAAATAAATATTTTAAATTTAAATTTGTTTTAAAATCATAATTTATTCATTTTTACATATATTTATTACCTTCCAATTTCATTTCAATTTTATATTTTATATAACTTTCAAAAGATCAGATATTAAATTAAATTTAAAGATTTTATATTTATCACACTACTTTCCTCAATATATATTTCCAACATAAACATAATTAAAACAGAAGATAAATCTCTATAATTTATTATATATATCTCTACAATTTATTATATACAGTTATTTTCACACAATAAATTAATTCATAAATACACATAGATGAATTTACCATAATTCGACTCAAATCCATTTAATTATTAATTAAGTGAACCAAATTTATTTTTAATATATTATCAATAAAAATAAAAAATTCAGGTTGACCGATATTTTTAATTACAAAACTGTATTAATATTTTTATCTTTAAATCTACATGTTATTATTGTCTCACTCTATTAAGTTAGATATATTAATGTTTTTAATCTAATATCAGATCAAAATCTAACAGAAGGTATTATGATAACATAATTGACAATGGTTATATAGATAATTAACCACCCCATAAATAAACATGTACACTTTTAGACGGAAATTAATAAATAGAGGAATAATTTATATTTGAAGATTTTATATTTATTATTCTACTTACTAAATATCCTACCGAGTTCATAATTTATAATTTTTTTTAGCAAAGATGGTATAAGAAGAAAAGTTGGATTGATTTTTTTTCCTATTTTCAAACGATAAAGATTTAAAAAAAAAAACACAAATTTTATTCTACTTAGTCTCAATTACCAAAACTATATTTAGTTTTTAGAAAATTTCAATTTCTTCTAATTCACAATTTCAACGAGAATTCATAACTGTTACTTCTCATCAAACATGTAATTATTATTATTTATATTGTCGACCTTCTCACCTCTCTTCTTGAATTTCCAACTAGAATAGTTTTGGGTTTGTTCTCTCCGAAATATAAGAACTGTGGGAACATGGTATTTCTGCAATGACAAATTTTCCCAAGAGTGATGCAGGCACACTCAAAAACTACAATTTTCTATTTATTTTTTAACTGTTAACATGATTGGTACATACCCACAAAAATAAATCATAGTAAACAATAACATAATAATAAGTAACACTATTATGAACTTTGGATAATCAACATTGGCGTTATATATCTCAGAGCTCAATTTGGCAAAGAAATCTCATGACAAGTACAATTCTAAGTGGAAGTTAGATAGTACAAGGCTCCCCTGTTAACAAGCAATTGACAGATATGATGGTGTCCCCAGATTCTAGCCATGTACAAAGGGGTAGCACCCCTCTTATTCACAGCATTAAGGTTCACACCGTTCTCGAGCAACACCTGTACGGTCCCAACATCGCCACTCTCCACCGCCATATGCAAGGGCACGTGACCTTCGTCATCTTCACATTCCAAGTCCAAACCTGCTAACTCAACAAGCACCGCCATCACATCTTTGTGCCCTTTAAAAGCCGCAGCATGAAGCGCCGTCAAACCATATTGATCACGATATTTCACACTCCCACCACCGCTTCGCAACAGTGCCTTCACTTCATTCGCATCTCCATTCCTTGAAGCCTCAAATATTGCTTCTCCCAACTCCACCACTTCTTTCTGAAATGAAAAACTTTGAGCAGTATAATTGATGGGCCAATTAATTTGGGTTTGGGCTTGACTTACATTTGTGTTTGTATCTTCTGCCACGTGTACTACATCAGAGGCATTGGGGCTGGGGACTATTCTCAAGCCGGCTTCAAGGAGGAGGTGAACCATGTCGTCCGGCTTGAGCAGCTTTGTGGCGGCGCCGAGGAGCGAGTCGGCTTCGGCGGGTGACAAATCCGCCAGCATCGAACGCTGTCGTTTGATCAAGTTCCTAACGGCGCCTAAGTCCCCGCGCGTGACGGCGTCGTTAAGGAGTAGGGGCCCCACGAAGGCCACCTTGAGTTTGATGTCCCGAGTTTTGAACCCGTAGGGGCGTGAGGCGAACCACGAATTGATCGACTCGAGGTGAGTGGACACGGACGAGTTCGCGGCCAACTCGGCTGTTTTCACGAGGAAGCGGTCGGAGGGGGAGCGAGGGTAGGATCGAGGGAGATGGGACTGCGGCTTAAGGATGACTTTGAAGGTAGCGAAGGATAAAGGGGGAATGAGTCCACTCGGTGGGTTGACCAGGAACTTGTTTGGCGATGATGTTTGGATCTTGAAGGCCACCGGTGCGGTTGGGGTTAGAGATTGAAGCCGCACCGTGGCTCGGCATTTGCAGTTGAGTGCGAACTCTATGCGCACCTCTGCGGGCTCGCACACTTCCACCAGTGCCTCCATCTACCACTACTTGATTCTCTCGGCTGGATTGGGCTTCGTGGTGGGTGAAGTATAGATGAGCAATGAAAATGAGAGTCACGTGATTCTGTGATGTAAACGTAACGTCAACGTTCCTCAAGGCGCGTGTCTATTTTTAGTTTTACATGGTGTTTTTTCAGCGAGTACTGATATTAAAAAAATGTTTATTACTATTATATTTATAAAATGATTGATTTAAAATAAAATTAATTAAAATTTATAATTTTATTAATAAATGGAGTTGTTGAAGAAAGTTTTGTTGATACTTTCAATTTATTTTTTAATTTTTCACCTCTTTCTAACGAATCCACCTTGATTGAAAAAATAAAAAATCAAAATCGTTGATCATGTGGAGCCCAGTCTAACAGCTCGGAGTGCATTAAACGACGGTGCGCTGCCTGCTTCTCCATTGACACGTGTTACGGTCAAGCGTTGTAGGACGGGAAATTATGTGCACCTTCGGGTAGCTCTTTGTTTGCTACCTTCGTTAGTTAGCATAGGCGTGTTTGTTACTTGCTTGATACATTACACTATTTCCACATTGCATTTGGCGCGTAGGGAGTGTTGCGAGGCGAAGCGTGTGCATAGTGGTGATGGCGAGTCTTTTTTTATTTTTATTTTTTTTACAAGGTTTATTTTTGAAATGCTTCTATCTTTGCGTTTTTGAATTTAACATAAACTGAGTTTTGCTACTTTGGTGAATACAGTTTTATATAGAGATAGTTGAATTTCTCGTCTCGAAGATGTTTTACTCTCACCAGCTTCTTGCTCGGAAGGCTCCTCTTGGCCAAATATGGTAACTCCGTTTCTGTTCTGTATTTGTTTTAACTATTTATGACAATGGTACTCTGTTTTCTTACATCATCACTAATTCTAATGTTGGTTATCATGCTTGTCTATTTTTTTTTTGTTTACGCAAAGCGTCTACGAGTACGACATCTATATAGCTACTCTTTGTAGAAAATGTGATGAACTGATGCAAAACCAATTACGTCTTGTCGTTGTTGATTTACAAATGGTTTGGTTGTTTCCTTTTTTATAATCCATGCAACCTTAAGGGGATTCTGGAATTTAATTTTGTTTAACTTCCATGTTTGTTTAAAAAAATGAGAAACGAAAATCTTAGTTGCATTCTTATTGGTTCTTGATGAAGGATGGCTGCGACTATGCACGCAAAGATAAACCGAAGAAAGCTGGACAAGCTCAACATCATTAAGATCTGGTAATGGTTACTTACTTGCACGCTTACTTTTTTTCTGGCCAAGAGTTATATATACCGCCAACTAAAGGGGCTGATATATTAGTTTTTGTTTCTTTTGGCTGTTTTACAGCGAAGAGATTCTGAACCCATCGGTTCCTATGGCTCTTAGACTTTCCGGAATTCTCATGGGTGCACTCTCTTTCGTTCATCCAATGTTATTTTCAATTTCAATTTCCATTTCAGTTAATAGGTAGAAATGTAGTATATATCAGCGCCTCTGTTAAATGGTTATTGCGTTTTTATCAGGAGGAGTGGTGATTGTCTATGAGAGAAAAGTGAAGCTCCTTTATGGTGAACTTTGAACCCTGTTTTCATGATTAATGTAGCATTAAAATGTTAGAAGTTCCCTTTCAGTGCACAACGATTTGATCTGAATTTTCTATTTTTTGTTTTTAATTTTATCTTCTTTTTTTCTCGCAGAGGACGTGACCCGTTTTCTGGTACGAAATTCAGCGTTAACACTTCCTAAGAATTCAGTTATTTATTTTATTTTTACTTTTCTTTCGTATGGGTACAAGGTTGAGATAAACGAAGCGTGGAAGGTAAAGACTGCCCCTGATCCTACATTGCTCCCCAAAGCAAAATCCAAGGCCAAGTTAGTCACATTTGTTGCTCTCGTTATTCAAGTTATCCATAATATACTTACCTTTCAGATAAATGTGACTCAATGAGTAATTTCATTACTGTTTTCAAAAATTTAATTCTACTATGCTCTATAGTAACTAACTCCTTTTCTCTCTGACAGAAAAGAAGCTGTTACTCTGCCAGGGATCGGTGAGACGAACGTGGCAGATATTGAACAGTCCCTTCAGTTTTCCAACACAGGCACCACAACGGGATTCCAACATAACGCCTATTTTACCATGGTATATGTATCTGGTCTCACTGCATGGAATTAGAAAGGGAAAAGAACTTATCAATAGACATTGATCATCAATTAGGTTGAACTAATCCGTACCCTTTTATATATTGAAGCGACTTGATAATGTCGATGAACCCTTCATTAGTAATGGAGCAAGAGGGGACCAGGATCCATCAGAATTTCTCCATCAAGGTTTTCTTCCTTGAATTTGCTTAATATATATATAGTTCATGCAAGTGTCTATTTGCTCACTCTTATCACTTTCAGCTGAGGTAGAGAATATTACCTTATTTGAACGCTTTGAAACATTCCAAGCTAATGCGGATCCATACAATCGCTTTGAGAGGTTTTTTAGTTTCAGTTCAGTCATCCTTATTTTGTATAGTAGTTTTTAATATCTTGCGACATTTCATTTATTTTTTGAATGGTTGTGTCAGGTTTGATATTGAAGGAGATGAGGAAACACAGGTGAATGTAACTTCAGGAGATCAGATTCCAACCATGCTTATTCCCTCCCCTCCTCGTCAAGACGAGCCTACCAGAGGTGATTAGGATAACAATCATTTGTCTGTCTGTAAACATGAAGATTTTGGATAATGTTATTTTCATTTTTAACATTTTGTCATTTTAATTATTGGTAGAACACGCTTTCCTTATACCTTAATTCAGTTATTTTCATTGTTGTCCCAACATTTCCCTAGTCTGTACTCTACGCATGTAGCTTATGCTAATACTGGCGTTTTGATGGAAGAGAGTAATGCACCATCTAGACCAAAATCGGCCATTACGTGAGCTTAGAAGCTTGGAAAGTTGAGTTGTCCGGATTGAGCTTGGCTACAACTTGAAGTGTACATATAGCTTAAGGGGTGTAAAGAGTCATGGAGTGTCATATTACTAGTGTTGTACATATAGCTTAAGGAATAATAGTGCTGCTCTACCTTTCCAACCAGAGAGGAGGTTTAGTTTTGACACATGACTCTGAAAGATAAGTGTTAGTTCTCAAAAGTTCCTCTTTCATCACCTATATTTCGTCTTAATTGAACCAGTCTCCCATAACCTTAATACCTTCTTTTATCCGTTTTCTACTTGGATTTGGGCTTTCGTTTGTAATATCCTACATTCGGTTACTATCCATTATGCGAGCTTTCTGATAACAGGCGTAAGTTTAGTCGAGATTCCTAGGATCGTATCTTTAAGAGAGAAGTTCATCATGTGTCCGATCTTTTAGTTCGAACACGACGAGATGGATTATTCCAACACCACAATAAAGTAGTAAAATTTTATTTTGGTATCATAAGTTGACTCGTAAAAGGGCATCTTTCGCATAAAAACTGAATAATTATTATTAGAGTTCAGTGATTATGGGATGACATTTCACCTTCTTACCATTTATTGTGAAAATAATATAAGATATAGTTTTTCCCTTATTACTCAAGCAAATAATTAAAATATACAAGTGTCGTGGAAATGACTAAACACTGTCATATGTTTCAAGTGTCTGCTGACATATAACTTCTGCAGCTGATATGTTTCAAGACCTTCATCCTGGACACCAGGACATTCAGCAACCTAATGAAGCCATGACACCTAGACAGGTACCATAATTATTTACAATGACCGTTACGATTTATGACAGAAGTAATTACTAACCTTGGAAGTGTAATGCAACAGGAACCTAGAAAGCGAGGACCAAATAAAAGGAAAAGAGAACAACCATCGGCTATCGAAATGGATTATGAGCAAACCATTATTCCTGTTCACATATATCAACACTGGCTTCAAAATGCCTCTGATATTGTATCGCGAAGAGGAAGAAAGAAAAAGGTTTCTCAGTTGTTTTTTATAATTGATATTTTATGAACTAGAGAATTTTGTTAGGAGAGTTCAATATATTTAAAAAGAAGAAAAGAAAAGAGAAGCAGATAAAATTTGTAATCCAATTATATCTTCAACAAAATGCTTCCACAATACAACACTACCTTCTCCCTGTTGCAGAAAACTAATGTCCTGACTTCAACAAAGATAGCCAACCTCATGAAGCTGCCTCCCGTTGCGCTAATTGGTGGTTTATTTACTGCTGAAAATAACCATATATATTATCCAGCACCTATTCTTGACTTATGGATCAAGAGCATTCAACCACCCCACGATTCACCTTCAGGTCAGCATAGAGTCTCTCTCTACGGTGTCCGGGGAGGGGGGCGGTTTAAAATGGTATTAGTTGATCTTAAGAAACTACTCAACCTTCATATGGAATTTATCAGATAGTAACAAACTCAATTTTATGCAGAAAGGATTTCAGCCCACCATCCTCCAGAACCATCCTTTTCATCGCCTCCAGGAGTACACAATGGAGATTTCATGCAATTTGTTAGTCTTGTACATCATCTTTTGCTTTCTTTTCTTTATTTTAGGAGGATATGTAACTTATTTCTGATAAATTTCCAAATGTGAAGCCTTCTGAAGATTTTGATCTAGATTACCAGCCACCTCCAGTAGAGAAGCAGCGGAAAAATATCCTCATGGATGAACTGACGGCTAGCCTTTTGAGAGGGCATGAATCTACTCCGCATGTCTCATCGGTGAAAGCCGGTAATTTTCATTGATTTGTTTATTGGATATTTCAATTCTGTAATGGATGCCGCCAACGACTAAGAAAGTACGAGATAATTGTTCTTCGACATGTTACTCTAGGAGACAGTGCATATTCCTTTCCAAGACCAACGTCTGAGCATGGCCCTGCCTCACATTCAGACTTTGATTCGGGAAGGTAGTTAGTTCAATTTATAACCTATTGAATATTATTCAATTACTCATTATAGTTTCAAATGTCCATTCCATCATGATATCCAAATGACAGAAAGAGATCATAGTTTTTGCACTTGTTGTAGTCTGATGCTTCAGAACTATTAACAGATTCAAAAATAAAAGGTATTCATCATCTGCAAACAGCAGTGGAGGCCTTGAGCCATTAGTGGAGGATGTAAATTTCAAGTTAGCTAGGCTGTATGAAGAAGGTCCCACACCTGATCAAGGTATATTACTCAAGGCTTTTTCTAATATTGGAAGAGGACTAGCTGTAATGGTATATTCTTTATTCACCTATCACATACGTCGGCCTCACAAGTCCCTTTTCAGAACTCCTGGTGGAAACAGGACCCACGCAAACGCAAGTAAACGTCAATCATCCCAGTGACAAGATAACCGATTCCATCCAAGCGTATGAATCTCTTTAAGTAATTATAAACCGTAATTACGGAGATAATTTTGAGTAATAATAATAATACATATTCCTTGCATTTGAACAGACAGATGAAGGCACATTTTGACACGCCTGGAGCTCCTTCCGTTGAATCCCTTCGTAATCTAGCTGCTGGAATGACACGGACATCAGCTGCACAACTTTTCTATCAAATTTGTGGTATTTTTTCTGTAGTTCTTTTATTTATAGTATATTTAAATTAAACTTAAATAATTTCAAGTCATTAATATATAATTTATTTTTGTTTTAAATGTTCAATTAATTGTTCTTTTTCAATCACTATTTAATAAATTAAAAATTTCAGTTTGAACATCTAATATATGTTCATCAAATAAAAACATGTATCACATCATATAATATATTTAATTAAAAAAATATTAATTACTTAAAATAAAATTTGATCCTAAATTAAAAATATATAAATTTAAAGGTTGGATGACTGTACCACTTTACACCACCTTTCAACCGTAAGCTTAGACATTTAAAATGATTATTGTAGTATGATTGGATAATAGGATACATTTATTTTACAATAATACATGTTTTCCTTTTCCTCATAAATTAAAGGGCAAACATTATTTAATCCCTAGACTTTACTCTTCTTTACTCTTTTAATATTTATTCTAAACTTTAATTTTGTCTTAATTGATCTCAAACTTTTTTCTCTTTTACAAATAGGCACTCCGAACTTTGATTTTTTTTTTTCTAATTGATTTTTAAACTTTACTGTTTTTGTGTATAGACGCCTATTTTTTCAATTTTATTCTAATTGATTAAAACTTATTATTATTTTATTAAGTTATTTCCCCAACAAAATGAATTGTGACAAAGAGAAGAAAAAAATTAAAGAATTATTGATATTTAATGTAAATGACTAAATTAAATTATATTTGAATTTATAAAAAAATTGAAAAAAAAGGTTAAAGATTAACTGGGATAATATTAAAATTTTAGTTGTTTGTTTTTAAAATTAGTAAAGTTGAAGAGTGAATCACAACAAAATTAAAAGTCAATGTGTGTATTTGTAAATGATATGAATTTGTGAATCAAATAAGACAATTAAAATTTAGAGGATTAAAGTAGACATGGAATGCTCCAATGACTAATGTAATTCTTTCATGCGTAGTTCTTGCTTCCCGCGATGCGCTGAGAGTTGAGCAAAGCGTGCCCTATGGAGAGATTCTCTTCTCTAGAGGATTAAAAATGTGACGCAGTTTTTGTTCCCCCTCAGTTATCTATGTTTTTCTAATTTGCTTCTTCTCTTTCGAAGTCTTATTACTGATGCAGCTTGTGTTCTTTATCAGCAAGTTGTATTCATGCTTAATTTAGTGTGCAATCATTAGCTACTACATACTCCTTCAAAATTTACGCAACGTGTCTCAGTTATCCAATAGTCATTGCTGTTTGCTAGGATTACAAAAAAGTTATTAATCCCTATCCTCACTTTTTTCTAAATTTTATCATGACAAAGTTATTTGAAAATTATTTTGTCAGTTAAAAGTTGTCTAACACAAAGTTGGGTTCTATTCAGCCTAGTTAAAAGTTGTTTTTTACGTTTCTACACTCTTAATATTATTTCATTGATTCTGGTCTTTCCAATATTTCATACTCTCAATCCTAATTCTCTGGACACTCATGTTTTTTCCTTTTTGCAGAATACAAACGTCTTTTATTAGAAATAAAATTAACAAAGTGAACTATAACTTTAATATAAATCAATCTTCTTAATTATATGTTAAAAAAAGCGTATTGACTATATTCTATATTCTAGTTTGTTCAGTTTTTTTTTTTTTTTAATAATGGGTAAACCGGATTTCCTCTTTAAGGACGATGTTTTCATTTTTAAAAAACCCCGATATATTTAAAAGTATATAGATTTTAAGTATATGATATATCTCATCCTTAATAATTATGTAATCACTCATTACATTACAAATGTCACAGTAGTTTAAAACTTTAAATTAAATGTTTAATTAGTTTAACTTTGTCTAAAAAAAAACAAAAGTAAGCTGAATTTTAATCATTTTTATTTTCGGTGAAACAACTTAACCCAGTCACCCACAGTGCATAGAATCAGGTTGCGTATTTCTTAAAACTTTCCAAAAAAGTAATTTGGGTTAGACTAACTCACTCTTGAACAATCAGTGCAAGTCATATCAATCCACTCTCACAATTCTAACTGAATACAATATTATTTTTAGTTATATAAAATCACTGTAAATCTATGGATGGGAAAATTTTCTCAATTAATAATTAACACATTTATATGCTTAAAACTCGTATTATTCGTCAGCCAAATGTCTTTTCTATGATCAAGTTCGGGAGTAGCTTCTTGCTTCGCTGGATAGAAATTCGTCATGCATGCTTTGTTACTCGTATATAAAAATTATTAGTGATTTTTTATATTCGCAAATCCTCGATCCATGAATGTTTTATAAAAAAATTACAATATAAAAATAATTAACAATTGTTATTGTAAACATTGAACATTTAAACATATTACATATAATTATAAATTGATAAATTAAAAGAGCTGTGAAAAGTATTCTGTTTAACTAATTTTAATGATTGTTATCAATTTTTTTCTAAAAAGCAATTTCAATACCCACAAAATGTATTGTATATTTTTCTTAATTTAATTTATAAGACTTGTAATATTTTAAGATATAATAGATCGTTCAAAAAATATTTCTAAATATAAATTCAAACAAAACTATAATTTAAATCATAAATTTTATTAAAGCATAAATATCAGCAAGTATAATATACTTTTACAGCAATATACATATTATTCTTTTATTCGTGATAGATTTTATTCGTAAATATATACGGGTACAATTTCTTTTCATCCTTCCTTCAACTTATACACTTTTTTTTTTCGATAAAATACCCAATATATTTCTAACACCAAAAACACCACTAAGGAAAATATATTCATCACTGCATAATAGACCAACCCCCCAAAAAAAAACTACGTTTTCCTACAATGCCTTTTTAACACATTATTATGCAGTATCTCTAACTTTTTATTTTCCTTAATTATTTTTCTGAATATTTTACCTTGCACGTGTGAAGCCATTGTCAAAACTCAAGATTTCAAAACCTTCACATTAAAAATAAATTTAGAAAGGCATAATAAAAGGAAGAAGAAACGCACATGCAGCTGTAGGTAGGGTTATGATTATGGATGGGCAATGATGATGCATCATGAGTAACACCAACCTTTAATAACCCCTTTTTCCATTTATAGCCCCCACTCTCTAACGCTTCTTCTCCTTTGCGCTTTACCATCTCACTCCCCTTCAATACCTTCAAAACCCTTTTCCCTTTCCCTAATTACTTCTCATGTGGCCACCGTGGCTTAATTCACCGAACCGGTTCCGCAACGCTCCATCACCGTCACCCTCGTCATCGCCGTTGCATTCTCGAACTCGCAACTTAAGCTTCTCCTGTTCATCTTTCAAAGACATTCAGAGCCTCCTCCAAGAAAAGCCTGAATCCGGCCCCGCCGCTCCCAAATCTCCGTCGCTCTTCCGCCGCGTCCGGATCTCCACCGCCGTCCTCCGCGCCTGGGGAGCCTCGCGCGCCACCGTCCCGGCCGCCCTCCCGCCTGGCCTCGACCAAGGCGTCGTTGTCTACTTCACCAGCCTCCGCGTCGTCCGCCGCACCTTCGATGACTGCCGCGCCGTCCGATCCATTCTCCGCGGCCTCCGCGTTGCAGTTGACGAGCGCGACGTCTCCATCGACGACCGCTTCCGCGACGAGCTCCACGCTGTCCTCGACCGCCGCAACAACCTCGCCCTGCCACGCGTCTTTGTCGGCGGAGTCTACGTCGGCGGCGCTGAGGACGTCCGCCAGCTCCACGAGAGTGGCGAGCTCCATCGGCTCATCGAACGGCTTCCGCGCACGAATCAAAACGCTTGCGACTGCTGCGGAGGCTTCAGATTCGTAGTGTGCGATGAGTGCAACGGAAGTCACAGAATCTTCACCGAAAAAAACGGATTCCGAAGCTGTTCGTCCTGCAATCCCAACGGTTTGATTCGCTGCCCTGCATGCTTCTTTGTGCACCCGCGCCACACCAAATAACTTACTCCATCGGTTAGTTACTGTTCACAGCTCACAGACAACTCACTGAAGAAATTAAATTAATCATTTATGTTTATAAATAAGGACTTTCTCACTCGCATCTCATCAATGTTTCTACGTTACATATATTAATTGAAATCGTGTAGTCCGGATAATCTACAAAATCTGAATAGGTTTATATCATTATTAGGTTTTAATTAATCACTAAATAGTATCTTATTATTATATGGAGTTAGAGCTTAGGAGCTAGGTTTGATTTGATGTAATGGCACACTTCAACTTTAATGATTCACATGGTGCATGTCATGATGCAGTCATGTAGTGACTGACAGCACACAATGGTATTTGGGAAAGGTTTCCTTTTGCATGGCACGAAATAATATGAAATTATTTGTATCCGGTGGTGGGTAATGCCAAATTTGCTTCAAAGGGTCGAAACTATTCTCACCGTTTTCTATTCAGTTTTTGTTCTTGTTCATAAACAACAATCATTGGGGTAGATCGTGGACTATTGTCTTAGAAGGTGGGAACAGCGTGTGTTGGACCTCGTTTAGGGTCTGGCCCATTTTCTATTTCCCTGCTTTTTCGGAGTACCGATTTGATTGCTTGGCCCACTTCTTTTATAGTGCAAATTTCTTCATGCTTAATTCTCATCTTTCATCACGTTAACATGACCCCAGTTTGTCTCTTGATCTTATATTTTGTTTTTTATAATGTAAGGACTGAATATTGATAGAATAAAGAAATATTTTATTTTTAAGAATTGAAATTATATTTTAAAGCGTATTCATGTCTCGTGGGATTCATAGTGCGCATTAAATCAGAATGAAATTGGTAGGAAGTTAGGAACTAGGATGGACATTGACAATGTTTATCCAAAATCCTTCAAAGAGGAAAAGTTCATTGGGTGCCTCGGCTTATTTTATTCTGTGTTCTGAATTCTATGCAACATGCATGAAAATGCGAAGTTGGATTTGACTCGAGCATTAATTTTTAAGTTGTTTTTTCTGATTGAAAATTATCATATGTTTTTCAGTCTACACGTTTAAGTCAACTTTTAGATTTTGTTTTTCATAATGAAGTTTCAAGTTAGGAGCCACAAGATCTTTCAATATACAGTAGTATATATATGGAAAATTAGTGCTCGTTGTTTTTCTTACCAACAAGATCACATTATATATCATCACACTATATTTGGGGTTTTTTGAACTCTTAAATTATAGAAATTTTTAGTTCTCGTTGGGCAGGAAATTTGAGATTTAGTGGACATGGAAGGAAATCTAATTTTTTTGTAACGTGTATTTGTTAGCCATAACAGTAGACGTAACGGGTATAAGAGTAATTAACATAATAAAAATCGCTTCCCAAAACTGTTATAAAGAAAGCAATGTCGTTGCCAGCTGTGGCTATTCTGCTTTTTTTAATCCTTCTAGTGAAAAACCTTTTGTATAAGTGTAATCAACATAATAAAATTATCTTTCCAACATCGCATATAATTAATTTTACTCTTGGCCATCCCGAGCTAACTCAACTCAATGCAGATTTGAGGACAATAACTTTTACTCCGCATCACATATAGCAAGAACTCAATCCTCAGATATTTGACCCAAGCTTGAGTTTTGATCCCTACCTCAGCTTTGTCAACTCTTCTACTCAAACTCAACTGCCAAAAGGTACCGTCTCATCTAATGATTACTCACAAGGCAGAATTGTATAACTCAAATATGCCTTGATCCCCACAACTCATGCCAATGCTTCACAATCCACAGAATATTCTTTTCAATATCATAGATCATCTTGACTGGAAAGATATCGTTTATGAAGATGTCAAGGTTCTACAATAACACATGTGAAATTGCTCCTACCACCATTCACATGCATATCATGATCTTTAAATGTGTTTTCAAATCAAAACTTAAACTTGCTGGGTCTTTAGATATCAAAGGTCAAACTTGTTCCTTACACGCTAATATAATATGCATATTTTTTTTCACTCTAATCTTGGATCACAAAACCTAATCTTTTATGTAGACGAGATCTAAGTCTGAAATTGCCCTATAATTGAAATAAGCTGCTAACATGGTTGATTACAAGCTCAAGAGCACCCCGGTTGCTGCTAAGACCAAGAGCCCAAAAGTACCGAAAACATCATTTTCCTCGATGATCCATCCATGTTACATTTGTGTGTTTATTGTAGTTTTACAATACCTCGCTTTTTGTCGTGTAGTTTTTTTTTTTTTTTTATAATGTTTATCTATTATGCACGTCAAATGTCATACTCTTATGACGTGTAATGTAAGTTTTCTCTTTACTTCCAACCCTACACTACAGTGGATTGCCAAGTTATTCTACCAATTTATTCAGCTAACTATGTATCTTGTTTTGGGAAGAAATTTCATCTCATGGTGCACAATGAAACAACACTATCTCTTGCTCCAACATTAAAGTTGAATATGGTTATTATTAACATCACAAACTAAACCCACTTAGACGACATTTCATTTTAAATATCTTTGCATTACATTTGTCTCTCCCTCAATCTCAATCTTATATTACACTGTGATAATTTCAGTGTCCTTCATGAGCATTAAAATAGTTTTCCTTGCAGCAACAATCATATTGGTTTGGATTATCATTTGGTATGCGAATTTGTTGCATTCTTGTCACTCACATTTTTCTACCCTTAAACATGTATCATGTTTTTTAAGCAAACATTGCCCCCAACCTTAGTCCGGAGGTTGAGTATTAAGAATACTCAATTCACTTTGGACATATAATGAGATTTATTGATAAAAAAAGGAAAACCAAAATTGTTGCAAAAATAAAGATGATACATCACAAATATCTTCAATATCAAAGGAGAGTCGTTGAATATTAAATTCTGCACGTTCAACAAAATAAAATTATACATATATATTTTGAAAGAAAACTTCGGACAATAAATTACCTAAAAAAAAAAAAAATCTCGGACAGCCAAACACCTATTAAAAAAAGAAAACTTGAATAATAAGCCACTCACGAAAATAAGAAAATTTAGACTATAAATCAACTATAGTGGGCGTGTGTAGACCCAAATTATACAATCACCATGTCATTATCTCCTATAGGCGTTTTCTACTTTTGCATGTCTTGTATTTTAATTTAGTAAAATATATCATTCGTCCCTTTTTTTTATATATATATATATATATATATATATATATATATATATATATAACTAAAAATTTTATATTAAAAGATCAACCTATTATCATGTAAAAATAAAAATATTATATATTCAATTTTACTAATTATATTTAAATTTTAAAAATTAAAGTTTATTTCATCTATTTTTTTAAATGTATCTATACTTTTATTTTTAAATATTTTTAAAATGTAAACTTAATTTATTTGATTATATTTAAATATCAAAATCGAGTATCATAAAATATTAAAATAACTAACTAATTTATAATAAATAAATAAATTTATATCAATATTTTATATTTTTATATTATACTACACGTATTAATTTGTTATAAAAAATAATTTTGTTTATTCTTTTTATTAAAAAAAAATAATGTGAGGTATTTTCTTTATTTTAAATTTTTTTTTCTTGTGACTTTTTGAACAGAAAAAACACTAAAAAATTACAATTTTTATGTTATAGATATTAAATTATAAAAAGGAAAATTTTAAAAATTAAAGGAAAAAATTTATATGAAATAAAATTGTGAAAGAAAATAATATGAAGATGAACTAGTGATAAAAATAAAAAATACAAATGTGACAAGATAAAAAAAATATAAAGTGGGAAAATATAAATATGAAAATAAAAAGATAAATAACATGAAAAAAATGAAAAATTACTTAAAATAATAAATATGATATTTATTATAAATAAAAATTAAGAGAAGAAAAAAATTTATATTTATAAAAAAATTATTTAATTTTTAAAAATTATATATATCCATTACCTCTCGAATTATGTGTATTTATTTTCTCACTCAAAACAAAAGTCATATTCAAACTTGCACATAAAGGTTTATTATATATATATATATATATATATATATATATATATATATATATATATATATTTTAATATATTTCAGAATTTTATAAATAATATTTATTTAAATATAAAAATATATCTTCCTAATATAATTTATAAAATACTCATAGGCGTAGACCGAGTGATGCTTTGTTAAAAATAAAAAAGCTATTGGTAAGATAGATCGTTATAAACATAAATTAAATTGTACTGTGAATTCAAAGAAAATGTTAATGAAAGAGAGTAAACACCCCACTTTGGTGATAGGTTTCTTATATCGTGTATAAAATATGTAAATATTTTGAACTAGTTTCATAATTATCTAAAATTAAATGGCAACAAATAAAAAGTTGTTTTATAATATAAAAATTTATAAAAATAATGTTAATTAAAAAATTATCACATTGTTTCTGTGTTAGAAATTTTATAAATTATGTTTTTAAATTAAGAAATCACAGTCCATTAAAATTCATCAACTTTATAAATAAAGTAAAATTTTAAGAGATTTATTATTATTAATTTTTATCACATACATTACTCGCATCAACGTCCAATTAAATGTGGAAGTGTGTTATATAAATACACTGATATCCAAACACATCATCAACTATTCTCAGAAAAATGTGGTCAACCTTATAAAACATAAATTTAAAATTACTCTTTCAACTCTTTTTTAAGTGTTATATTTTTTTATTTATATTAAATGTATTTATTAATACTGTGATAAAGATATTTATGGTGGTTGATTTTTAACTTTTTAACACTATAAAGATATTTAAACTATAAGTTAATGTATTGATAAAAAAATAAAATACATAATTTTTTCATGTGAAGTAAAATAATACTTTTTTTATTTTTTTAAATATCCCGCTAATGCGAAACCATAACATATTTGGTGAGCTGAAATATATAAAGTTTTAAATCAATGGATTAAATATTTTGAGATAATTAACTACACATCATAGAAAACCACAGTTATATAAATTAAACAAAGGATGATATTCCGGGTTTAAATTTTAAAAACATAATTGACCTTCAGTTTTGTGAAAGAAAAAAATATTTTTTAATACAAAAATAATTAGAATAATACAATTTCTGTCTCAAAAGAATGAAATAATATTTTTATTTTTTTATCAATAAATACTGAAAAATAATGATTTTTATAACATGTCACAAAGTATTAATGTAAAAAGTAAGATATGATACAAAACATATTATTTTAAAATAAGTTTTAATGTGATATATTTATATGAAAAGATAATCAAAATCGTTAAAAAAACAATTTTATAATAATCATGATTAAAAAATTGATTTGAAAGAATATAAGTAAGACTTATTATATTTATGAGAATAAAAAAAATCTTAAAACTTAAATTTTATAACACAGCTATTATATGATAAAAAATTATTAAGCATCTACTCAATTACTCAAATATATTTGCTACAATATTTACATAATTTTTAATGACAAAAAGTATGCTGAAAAGTAGTACTTTTGTTTGTTGTCAGAGTTGATGATGTGATCCAGAAAGGGACCATTTAACTAGTCTAGGAGAAAGACAGTGTTGATATAATCACCAAAACTAAGTCAAGCAATTGAAGCATAAACACAAAAATGGCACCAAAATTTTCCATCTTTTTCTCATATCATATCACCCTTACTAAACACACAGCCATTCATTTAGTCTTCTTTCTACAGTCTCCTCCTTGACTAAGACTTGTGTTTGACTATGTAATAATAATAATAATAATAATAATAAAAATAGTAGTAGTAGTAGGTAGCTTAACTTTAAAATAGAAAACATTAATTAATATAAAAAGGTTATAAAAAATATTTTAAATTAAAATAGTTATATAGTTTTTAATTGTAATTAATTAAAATATTTATTTTATTATAAATAAGATAGTTACATATATTTTTACAATTTTTAATTATTAATATTATATGAATATTATTTTATATTACGTAATAAATTATGTGTTTAGAATTTTTTATGAAAAAAAGTATTCATAAAAAAATATATCATAAACAAATTTTTTTTTATATATATTATATTTTTTTCACATAGTTTATAACTATTAAGATAAAATAGAATAATATTTATAAAGGAATAAACATATATTTATACTGAAAATATATTAAAAGGGTGTAAAAATTTATGTTAAAAGATAAATTGATTTTGTGAAAAAAAAAAACTGACGTGGTGAAAAAGGAAAATTTAGTCTATTACTAAGAATATTAAAATATACAATCAGACTTTATAAGCAGACAATAAAAATTTTTATTAAAATCTTCAAAGAATGAATAATCTCACAAGAATTTTTTATTTCCCTGAAAATTAATAATATAGAAATGATATTTTTACATTTCAAATTATATAATTTTCAAAAACAACTCATTTTTTTAATATTAAATAACAATTTTAATTTTAATTTATTTTTATTAAATTATTTTATAATTATTATATCAATAAAAAAGTGAATTATTTTAAAGGTTGTTTGTTTATGAAGTTATAAAAATATCACTTGGAAATAACCTATGAAAAAGGTTATTGAACATGTTGTTGTCCATCCCTCCTTGCACCGTTACCACTATTATGACTTGTTAGCTCAGCGACAGCAAACGCGCTTTCAAGTCTCTTGGGTCCATACATTCATACAAACACTCACTAATATCAACCGAAGGTGTGTCACTACATGTTACCTTAGAAATAACCCTTTTGCCTCTTCCACTCTAGATGTTCTTCAACTTGACTTTTTCTTTTCTTATTTCGTTTACACCTTCCAATTTTGCTTCCTTTGGCTATTAACCTTTCTTTCTTGCAAGAAGGACCCTATTCTTGCAGCAAGAATGAAAAAGAACAGGCTTTATATGGCTTTGCGCCTTGTGGGTTATTTTTTCTTGTTTCAGAACTTGGGTTTTTGCTGGTCTTTGAATGAAGAAGGTACTTGAGTTGTGCTGGGATTTTTGGGTTTGTGGAATCTTGTGGCTGCTTGGATGATGTTGAGGCGTGGTTTCTGTTTGCAGGTAATGCTCTTTTGAAGTTGAGACAGAGAATAGTGAGTGACCCTTTTGGTGCTTTGTCAAATTGGGTTGATGATGACGCATCTTTTGACCCTTGTTATTGGTTTGGAGTTGAGTGCTCAGATGGAAGAGTTGTGGCATTGTAAGTGATGATTTTGTTAGCCCTTTTCTCAGAAACTCGTTATTTGTAACCAATGCTGTGGTATAATTTATGGTCACACAAGAAAAGAAGAGGAATATGTATGTCTTTTTTTATTTCTAAGTTCTCTCTCTTCATCCGTGTCATCAAATTCATTTGGCTCCACAGAGAGTGGCTGTCATGTTACGATGTTTCATCATTAGTCTCGTATGTTAAATGTACTCACTAGTGTTCATATTGTTTAACATGAAAGATTTATTTGCTCAGGAATTTGAAAACTCCACCGAAACAGGCTGTCATCATAAGAGTTTTTGAACATCACTGTCATGTGTTTTATTTAATCACTAGTGTTTTAAACTTGAGAGATTTTTTGCTCAGGAATTTGAAGGATCTCTGCCTTGGAGGAACTCTGGCACCTGAGCTTCTGAAACTTGTCCACATAAAGTCCATGTAAGTAATTTTTGTTACTTGGTTGCATTTACAATCTCAGTTTCTTTCCTTCATTATTTCTATCTTGGCCTTTGTTCTAATCATTGGAGCGTGAGTATGCTGCAGTATTTTGCGGAACAACTCTTTCTATGGGACCATACCTGAAGCGTTTGCGGAGTTAAAAGAATTGGAGGTTTTGGATTTGGGATACAACAACTTCAGTGGACATCTACCTACAGATCTTGGGAGTAATATCTCACTAGCAATCCTGTAGGGTGATGACCCTCTTAGGACAGTTCAATTTCACTTTTTTTTTTTTTTTTTTTTTTTTTTAATTCTGACACATATACTCACTCGTTTCTTCTTATTGCAGTTTGTTGGATAACAATGAATTTCTTGTTGGTTTTTCTCCGGAAGTCAGTGAACTGAGGATGTTTTCTGAGTGTCAAGTAGATGAAAATCAGCTAAGTAATGCTGCTAAAATGCCAGCTTGTATAGAAACAGCCACCACATGGTATGTTTATAATTAATTGAAAGGTGGTCCATCTCTGGAATGATGTGCTTGTATTTTGTATCCTTAGTCGTGTCCATCATATATATGCTATTAGTATGATAGGGTTGTCGTATTTATTTTTTAAATAAAACAAGCTCACACAATTTTCTCTTTTTAAAGGCATATTGGTCAAGGTAAAGGTACTCGTGGCCTACTAGAACATCGTAAACCATTTACTCGTGATCATGAAGACCCTCGTAGTCGTGCGGTTAATCCAAAACCTCAAAAGAACTCCTCTCCTCCCTCTGCATCACCACCAGTCTCAGCAAAATCCCCAGTATCAGAGCCAACTCCCTCCGGGAAAATTGCTTCTAAATCTCCTTCTCCCCATTCTACACCAGGATCTGGAGCATTATCTAAAACTAAAAAAAACACCTCATCAAAGGTTCATATTTTGGCTGGAGTCGTAGGTGGAGTTGTGTCTATTCTTTTTTCAAGCATTGGCATATATCTTTGTAAAACAAAGGTGACTAATGTCAGACCTTGGGTTACGGGCCTTAGTGGACAGCTTCAGAAGGCATTTGTAACTGGTAAATCAATTTTTATCATGATAAAACTTAGATACAATTCCAAAGTGTTTTTAATGTTAATCTCAAATCAAATTTGAATATTCTATGATCTCATGTGAATTTTATCATACATGTTTACGAAAGAAAACTTAAAATCTAAAATGAGAGTATCACTAAAACCACCCTAAGGAACTGCCTTTAAATTTTGTCTATCGTGCTAGGACCTTCATTATTAGGTATAAGGTCTACTACTTGTAATTAAAAAATTGTCTTCCTGTTTCCAAGAAGGATCATGTCTTTTTAATAAAAAAATAGAAGATCTAAATCCCATATTGCATACTGACTCAGGATTCCTGAAACGCGACAAACAATAAGAACTTTTTCATAGGGTTCTTCTGTCATCTAATTGACCTGACTTTGAGTGATTGCATGTCAATATTATTGAGCTAGATTTCTAATGCTCATATGTAAGTGTTTGCCAATGTACATGCATGACAGAGTTTTAGCTTTTCAGGCGCGCAAAAGCTAAGGAGATCAGATCTTGAAGCAGCATGTGAAGATTTCAGTAATGTTATTGGTACTTCACCCATTGGCACACTGTACAAAGGAACTTTGTCTAGTGGCGTAGAAATAGCTGTAGCTTCTGTTTCGGTGATATCATCCAAGAATTGGTCAAAGACCTTAGAAGATCAATTTAGAAAGAAGGTATCAATTATCATAACAGAAAAAAGATCAAACTTAAATGTAGAATTGCAATTTAACATTATAATTATGACTAACTTTTTAACCGTTGTGGTTTCAGATCGATACATTATCAAAAGTAAACCACAAGAATTTCGTCAATCTTATTGGGTACTGTGAAGAAGAGAAGCCTTTCACCAGAATGTTGGTTTTTGAATATGTCCCAAATGGAACACTATCTGAGCATTTGCATAGTAAGTATTTTATCTTCCTAGAGTAATTCTTACACCAAATATAGCAACATGCATTCTTTAAGACGTTCTAAATTATTGGTTAAATTTATTGAAAATCACAAAATTGTTATTGTTGAGTTTGCGTTGGTAAAATGGCTGATGTATTTGTTCCTGTTGTGAATGCCAGTAAAAGAGGCTGAGCACTTGGATTGGGTAACGAGGCTTAGAGTTGCAACGGGTATGGCTTATTGCTTGCAGCATATGCACCAATTGGACCCTCCTATGACCGTTAACAAGCTGAATTCTTCAGCTGTTTACTTGACTGACGACTATGCTGCCAAACTATCAGATTTGAGTTTCTCCTATGACATAGCCTCAGCTGAGACAAAAGCTATTGACATGCCAAAAGCAAGTCCAGAAAGTAACGTTTATAGCTTTGGTGTTTTGTTATTTGAGATAGTTACTGGTCGTCTCCCTTATTCAGTGGAACAAAGAGACTCACTTGAAAACTGGGCATCAAACTATTTACAAGGGAACCAACCCCTCAAAGATACGGTGGATCCAATTCTAGGATCTTACCAAGAGGATCAGCTGGAACAAGTTGCTGCATTGATTAAATGTTGTGTGCACCCTGATCCAAAGCAGAGATCAACAATGAAAGATGTCAGTGAGAGACTAAGAGAGATAACAAAGATAACACCTGAATCAGCAGTTCCAAAGCTTTCTCCACTTTGGTGGGCAGAGCTTGAGATTTCTTCTTCAGAGCGCGTTGAAACCGGTGAAGCAGATTGCAATTAAGACTGAGAGGTTTTAGCGTTGTGACCCTTTTTCCTTTGGTGAAGTGAAGGCATAAAAAAAAGTTAAAAGTATCTATTTTTGTTGTGATGTACAACATGATGGCAAATGACGTGGGGAGACCAAAAAAGTGGTTCTTCAATTGTGGCTAATGGAATTGCACAGAGAAGTAGCTTTTGTATATCAGTTAATTTCAATTCAGTTTACGAGGTGAATCAAGATATTTCCAACTCTTTCTGTCAAATAATATACATATAAATATCTATATAAAATAAGTATGACAACGAAACATGTTGGAAAAGAGATTTGTTCTCTTCATCTCTATTCTCATTGAAGGCAAGAAATATTCAGAGATGATTTTATATTTGAAAATGTTCTAATTATATCATTATTATCTATGATGAACAAATATGTTTCATCTTGAGACTTACATGTATTTTTGTTCTTATAATTAGACAAATGTCATTATTATCTAATTCATAGTGTTATTTTATTTTCAAATTCTAAAGTTAATGTTGGAAACTAGTTACCAATAAAGTCTTTGCGAAAATAATATTCTCACAAAGTTTGTATTAATCAAATTTAAATATAATAGATGTTTATGTTATTGAAAGAGATATTTATTTTGAATTAAAAAAACACGTAATTAATTAGACATCTCTGGCGAAAAAGACTGTAATTTATCCTAGCTCAGAAGAAGTGTGGATAAACTTTTTTAAAAAGAAAAAATAAACTTAAAAAATTAAGAATATATTTGTATAAATTAAATTAAATTTGTAAAAACTATTTTAGTCTAATGTATTCAGAACTAATTTTGAAAGAGATTTAGCTCTGAATAATACGTATAAGATGCTATACATTTTTGTATTTGTATTCAATTTATTAAAAAATTGGATTGAATTATACTTTCAAATCTTTTATTTTGTTTTAGTCTTTAATTTTTTAGTAGAATGACGGTTTAATCGTAAAACTGTATATGAGAATAATATATTATCTTAATTTAACACAACTTTAATTGTTAATACATTTAAAATATTAGTATAGCTAATTATAAATTCAAGGAAAAATCATTTTGATTATTTTACTTTTATTTATTTATTTATTTTTATGAAAAAGTGTATCCAAATTAATTACCAGCTACACTCTAAGCTTAGCGTGTCACTTAACTGAATCAACGGCTTTTACTCACTCAATCTTTTGTGTGTTGTCCCATCCCAAATAACAATGACAAACGCTGAAGAACCTGCTCTTCCCAACCCTAATAATCACACTAAACAATCCACCAATGGCGATGCGGAACCTCACCACCAACACGATATCGAAGATGAAGTTGAAGACGAAGAAGATGACGAATACGACGAGGACGACGACGTCGTTCAACAACCGAATCGCGGAACTCCCCAATCCGCAGCGTCCAAGCTGCGCGAACAGCGTTTCAAGGTGGAAACCCTATCGCGAAGGTTGTCGTCGGAGCTGGTTCCGATTCGAGTGCACGACGTGGTTATAAACGGCAACACTAAGATAAAGGATTGGGTTATTGAAGCGGAGCTCAGAGACATCGAGAACGCCACCAGCATGCAGGAGCTTGTGCAAGCTTCGCAAATAGCCATTTCCAGGCTTCAAGACCTCGAAATCTTCGATTCCTGCAAGATTCGCCTTGAGGCTGGGCCCCGAGAACTCCCAAACACCGCCAATGTCATCGTGGACCTGGTCGAAACCGGTGACAAAGTGTCTGGCGAATTCAGCGTTTATACCAAACCCTCGGTACACTTTCTTCTTATAAGATTGATATAATGCATTGACTTGAACTGGATACGTGTGACTTTGATTTGAGGCATTGCATTGTATAGAAACGTGTGGGCAAATATATGAGACCTTAGCAAGTGAGAAGTGAGAAAATTAACTCTGATTATTCAGTCTTACTTAGCTGGTGAAGTATATTATATTTCAGTGAAACTAACCTGGACAGTCTATAGCAGATTAAATGGTCATGCTCTCGCGCTTTCTATGTATATACTACTACGTCATAATATTTTTTTATTTGTCTCTAATGTGTTGTCTCTACTATTTTTCAATCAGAATTGGATATTCAGCTCGGTAATTTATATAATCTTTTAACACAAACCTTAATTACGTGGGTTAGTGAGATGAAACTCTAATTCTGATGAGAGAACAATACAAACAACACCGATGGAAATGTATTTAAGTTTTGTCCTAACAATTTTTCCCTGTTAGGTATGAGGTGTGAACAAGGGCATGGGAATCTATTTTTTATTTGTCTGAAAATTTGTGTTGTTTGTAGACTAGTTCTTGGACTGCTGAAGGCGCTCTTAAGTATAAGAACTTTTTGGGCTATGGTGATCTATGGGATGCTTCTTTGGCCTATGGTGCCAACCAAATGACTGAGGCGAGCGTCGGGGTGCATGCCCCTCGAGTTAAAGGGTTTTTAACTCCTATTATGGTGCGGATATTCATGCATTCCCAAGATTGGCAAGAGGCTTCCTCGTACAAAGATCGGTTACTGGGTGCATCTCTTGGCTTGATCTCGACAGAGCACCATGACCTAGCATACGCCCTTGGATGGCGTACCTTAGCAGATCCATCACAGATGTCATCCAGGTCTATAAGAAGGCAGCTTGGTCATGGTTTAGTGTCTTCTTTGAAGTATACATTTAAAATTGATAGGAGAAATTCTCCTATTAGGCCAAGAAAAGGATATGCTTTTCTTTCCTCCACACATGTTGGTGGCCTTACACGGGATCCCCGGAGCTTGCGATTTCTGCGTCAGGTGTGACTAAATCCTTTCATTTTCCTTAAATTAATATTAATCTGATACTCTGTAAAATTTATGTGCAATGTTTAATACATATTAACTCTCATGTTAAATGATTTTAGTGTAATAATTATTGAAATAATCGTGGGATGGCCTAGAATTTCCAAATTGATGCAATCAGAAATTTTAGAATGATTTGATAGAATGAATAGGCAGAGTAATATGTGGCCAACACTTCAGATTCTTTTTATATGATAGGAGTTCATCTCCTTTGTCAAAGATGTCTTCCCTTAGAAGAGAACCTAGTATGTGCATTTGAAAAAACACTAAAATGGTTTTTTTTTTTTCTGCTTATGAGTTTTTGCTTTTTTTCCTATTCATCATTTGTTACCATGTTGAAAGCATTCGGTTGAATTTTGTTGTTTGTGATGATAAAGGGGAACTTGAAAGCATCCTCAACCTCTTAGTGAGAATAAAATTTCTCTGCAAATGTCCATGGAAAGATTTCACAAGTATGAGGTTGAAGGAACTCTTTTCCATTTGCGGCCTATCCTGTATTAATTATATGCAAAGTGCTCTCTAATATTTTAACGTTTGTCAAATCAGTTATAGATTTTGAGTCTTCTAATTTTAAAAGATGCTAATTATTTACATGCTTCATATAGGTGCATGTGAGATTAGCCTGTAAACTAAGACATTACACCAAGATAAACCTTACTAACCAAAATATGTATTTCCTTTTGAACATTAACATGGAAAAGTCTAACAATTTTTTCATTAGGTGGCCACCTTATAGAAGGAAATAGATTCCGATTAAGATACCTCTTACACTTCATTCAATGTGGAGAAGTATAATATATGCTATGTTAGTAAAGCCATACCGGGAATGTATTTTAGTAAAAAATTGCCTTGTTCCCTTTTCCAATGTTTCTTGGATGATGCTAACAAGTGCTACTTTAATCTGACATAGATTTTTATTTTCTATAAAGCTCAATCCTATTGATTAAATCTTGCTATTTTTATAATTAATTGAGACCTTGAAGAAAATAATAGAAAATAGAAACAAGAAATACATAAATAAATAACTAAATCAAAATAGATTTTAGGTCATATTATTGGTCGATATTATGACTAGCATTTTGTGGTTTCTTCTTTCTTTCCGCTTGTTTTTCTATGAGTTAGTTCATGGTAATTTGAGTTTTTACCTTTTTTTTTTCTTTTTTTTTACCTTTCTTTAATAACTTTAACCAGTGGTAGGGAAGAAAGTCCCAATAGTTTCTGAGCGGTTGCCATAGGCTGCTCTTTTTTTCTTCTTGGTGAATTGTGTAGTATGCTTTTGGTTATAGTAATTGTTGAGGATGAGCCAGCTTATAAGGCATAGACTACGGTCACAGTAACATAACATTTTTGTTGTAGAATACATTGTGTAAACCCCCCATTTTCGTCCCTGAAATTATAAAGCGATGTCATAATAGTCTTGGGTTAACTCTGGGAATCCCTGAAATTGAATTGCGTTAGTCACTGTTGTTAGTTATCCACTAATTCCTTTGACCAATACGTGATGTGGCACTTCATCTACCATTTTGACAGCCCTGGTATTTTACAATAAATTTGACAATGTAAAGAAGAAGTAACCATTACTACAAATTTCTGTCAACTAGGTCCCTGAATTTCTCCTTGTTGGTCCCTCTTTATGTGGCTATAACTGGGCATCCATTTTCCGCCAAAAGGGCAGATAATTTGCCACATGAAACGCTGGTTAATAAAGTTAGTGAATGACTATTTAGAAGGACTAACTTCACTAACAGTGCTTTACATGCGGAGACTTTTATGCCAGAAAGTTACATGTGGAGATTATTATTATAGTGCTTTACAATGTTGGCGACAAAAATGAGGTTTATTCTTTCTATATTTTAATTTTTAGTTTCTTTGCTATGCTATTTTGAAAGTCCTTTTTAATGAGCAACTCTGTTAACTCTAAGTTCTAATGCAGGAGTTTGATTTTCGCTTTGCTGTCCCTTTTGGGTTTTACAATACAGCTCTAAACCTTGGGATATCTGCTGGTGCTGTTTTTCCATGGGGGCATGGATTCAAAACCAAGCCATCTCCTCTTCCAGAAAGGTTTTATTTGGGTGGTGATTTTTCTCCAGTTTGCACCCTAGGAGGGCCAAGAACATTATGGGGATTCAAAACTAGAGGATTAGGTCCTACTGAACCTCGGAGGCAAAATAGAGATGGATCTGATGATGATGACGTTGATTCCTCTGGATGGGACTTCATTGGCGGAGATCTTGCTGTTACTGCTTTTGCTGATTTCTCTTTTGATCTTCCAATTAGGTGGTTGAGAGAACATGGAATACATGGTCATGTTTTTGCTGGTTCTGGGAATGCTGTTAAACTAACTCAGAACGAATATAGGAACTTCTCTTCTCGGAAGTTCTTAGAATCCTTTCGAATGTCAGTGGGATGTGGATTTGTTATTCCTACTAGACTCTTCCGCCTAGAGGTCAGCATCTATTTTAATTTCTTCATATTTACTGTAAAAGAAGATCAAACTAACCAAAAGTTGAGAGTTTGGGCGGAGTTTGAAGTGAAATGTCAGTGATGAAGAAAAAATATAGAGAATTTTGGGTAACCATTTTATATTTTTTACCATAAAGAGTAAGAAGAAAAGAAAAGAGAAATATAGATTCCTTTTAATCTTTAAATCTGTTTAGTGGTATAAAATAATTTTCCTCTTTTTGGTCTTTCCCACTTTTAGTTTTGATCACTTATGACATGTCTGTATGTATTTATCAGCACTATGATATAATTTGGTATTTGAATAGCAAGGTAATTTAGGTGAACAATCTGTTGAATTGATAGATTAGCATTGTTACCAGGATTAGTAAATCTCTTTTATGTTGTACCCATCTCCTTCACTCCACCATACCTTATTTTTTATTTATTTAATTTGCTATTTATGTGTTTGTTCTCCAACATATTTCTTGTTCCAGGGTAACTACTTTTACATACTCAGAAAGGGTGAGCATGATCGTGGAAAGACTGGATTTAGGTTTAGTTTCTCAGCTTCTTCGTAGCAGCTGTGTTCTCTGCCATTTTCTATTCTATTTTTACGTAGTTCTCCAATCATTAAATGTTTTTGGCTGTCTATCTCGGCACGTTTTTCATTTTCTTACCTTAAATCTAGCAAATAAAATGGCATTTGTTAGCATATTTTCTTACCGAAAATAATGCACCATGTACTGCAATTTTAGTAGCACGGCCACCGAGAGAATTCTTAACTTTTTCTGGCCTGCTTGGGTTGTGAAGAATAATACACCACTCTTTTATTGGTTGAGATTTTTCATCACTGGAATTTTTTTTTTGTTCATATTTTGTAATTTCAACGTATTTGGTTTGTGTAATATATTATTTCTTACATATGGCAGGCAGCAGATAGGCCCAACCTACCCTGTCAATATTATAAAGCCTATGTTTTCTAAATTTAAGTTGCTTTAGACATTATCTCTTTTTGGCTTTAATAAATTTACTTTGCAAATGTGCTTTGAGACCTGAACTTGGTAATCTTCTCGGATAAAATTATTCATCGGATGCTGTCTATAGTTATATTTAGGAAACTTTAATCTGTCTTAAGGGTAAAGTTCAATTGTTTAAGAAATTAGGATTTAAATGAAAAAAGGGTTAAAACTACACAAAGCAAGAAATCGAAGTGAATTGAATTTCAAATTAGAAATTCAGGTAAAATAAAATGAAACTTAATCTCAATTTTTCTCATTTGATTTGTCTTAATTTTATTTCGTTACTGTTTGTCCTAACAAGGAAAAAAATTGAAAATAAATTTTCGATTATTTCTTTTCCTTTTAATTATATATTTTACCAACAAATCCAAATTATCCTTTATGTTACTATTTGAATTACATTTATAGAATTGCGAATTAATCGACAATGGGCCCATGTAAGCTCAAACAACATCAACAGCAAACAATTATCATTTATAAATTCCTTCTTAACGTCAAAGTGATATATAAATCCATTTTATCTCTTAAATTACTTTGGCGAGAATAAATAATCACTCAACAACAAAAAATGGCTATTTACAATTATTTTATAATGATATTTTATGTTGGTTAAGTGATGAAAATTAAGTATTACTAGAAGTTCCATATTAGGTAGGAACAAGTAAAATGAATCATATATAATAAAAAAATCCATAGATTCATTGTCTTAAAATTTTGAGAAAGAAATGGATCATATTTTTTCTTGTTATAGACTTATAATCCATTAAAATAACGTATTTTTTGTTCTTTAAAAATGAATTAATTTAAAATTTGAGCCCTATAATAATTTTTTTTTATGTACTTTATAATTTTGTTAAAATATGTGTTTTTAATTTTTATCATTGGATAATCTTCATTCAATGATAACTTAGTCAAATCATTCACGTGTTTAAACTTAATTAGATCCCACTTGACCTGAACTTAAAATCATACATGTCAATAAAATTAACGATTAAATAAATATTAAGAACCCAAAATGAAACTAAATAATTTTTCAGATATAAAAAAATATTGAAGCCCTTAAATTTACTACTCTATATCACCGGCCTGACGTTTATTTAAAGATTAAATTTAAGACTTAATCCCAAAAATGACAAAATCGCTCAATTTGTACCACTCGAATCAAGAATTTTCATTTACACATAAAGCTAAAATTTCTAAAGACATCATAGACATAAAGACAAGTAAATACAGTTAGGAACTTGTCTTAAAAGACCTATATTCTTAAAAAATTCTATAAGCAAGCATTTGTTCAAGTGATAATAAACGGCTCATCCAGGGATTATTTCCTAATCAACAATCATTGGCAAAGCTCCAAAGTTTTGATACCAAGAATTGTAAACAACAAATGATCAGCATTTTTCATGTATACCATTCATTCACAAAATATACAACTGTGAAGTGATGTGATCACACCCCCTACTCTACTAGTGTTATCATCAAACAGAATGATGAGGCTGAGAGCAGAACCTATTGAGGAACCTAAGCAGTGCATCTGCTTTTCTCCTAGCTCTCAAAGATCCATCAGCAGCCAAGCTTTGAAGAGAAGGAATGCTTCTTGGATTTGCCAAGAGTCTCCTTGCCACCACTTCCCCCTCTTCTTTGCACAGTCCTAGCAAAAGGGTTATTGAATTTTCCTTCCCTTTCACTGAACCAAATCTCAGAAGATCAATAAGAAGTGGCACCAATGCTCTACTATTCCTTATCTCTTCTAGCCCATCAGAGCAACCAAGGAGCGAAGCAAGCACTGCAAGTGCATCATCTGTTATGCCAGCCTTGTCATCTATCAGCAACTCAACCAGTACAAGAACTGCCCCGGCCTTAACAACACTAACCTTGTTAGGATTGTAGACTGCAAGATTGAACAGTGCAGATGCAGCATCTTTCTTCCCTATTGGAGTGCCTTCTTTTAAGAGTCCAACTAAGGCAGGTATTGCCCTTGGTCTTCCTCCAATTTGCACCTTGAGCTCATCCACCATAGACAAGCTATATATTGATGCGGCTGCATTCTCCCTTGCCTCCATGGTCTTCCCTGATTCAAGTACTTCCACTATGCTATCAACTGCTCCTGCTGCCATGATCAAAATCTTGTTGTTGTCGAATATCGAGAGGTTGAATAAGGTTGTCACTGCATGCTCTTGGATTCTCGAATCTTGAGATCCTAGAAGTGTTACAAGAAAGGGAATAGCCCCTACCTCAGCTATGACACCTCGGTTAACCATGCCGGTTTTTGCAAGTAACCGAAGTTCATATGCAGCTTGCCTTTGGATATCAGCAGAACCAGTAGCCAATTTTCCAACAAGAAACTCTGCTGTCATTTTGACAGCGTCTGCAGCTGCTTTGTTTGCAGAAATATGGTCGATAGCTTCCTCCTTCGAGTTCTTGTTGTTGTTTCCCTCGGACTTAGGCTCATGAACTGGGACATTGTTGTCATAGCACCATTGCTGAACAAGGCTCTTCAATGCATAGTTGGGTATTAGAGCCGTGTGAATTAGCCTTTGCCCACTTTTGGGGCAAGTGTGATTGCCAGAGTTTATCCATTGTGCAATTGAGGTTCTATCATATGTGTGCCCTGATGACACAATCACGGGGTCCCTCATTAAGTCAAGTGATATTGGACAACGAAATTCGTCAGGAACATTAGGTGTCATGGACTGAGAGGATGAAGAACTATCATGTACTTTGTTATACAAAAATGAAGATAGTGGCTTACAATCTTCTTCATTTCTGTCACTCTCTCCATCTCTGAATATCATTGATTTGGAATAAGAGACCAATGATATGAGGTTGTTTATATTGGAGACGATTAGCAGTCCTCCTGTGCCAGCTTGGTTCTGAGCTTCAGCCTCTAGCTTAGATATTTCTTCATCATAATCTGATGTGGTTCTCATACCAATGCCGCTTAGTATTTCTTCCACTTTTCCAAAGTCAATAAACCCTTTGTTCTTCTTGTTTTGTAAACTATTGTTGGCCATTATTTGTATAATCTGTTCTCTTCGTTGAAGCTCTCTAGGATCAATGAGTATTTCAGCCCTCTTTGCTTGCTTGTGAAGAAGCTCCACTTGTTCCCTAACATCTGATGTTACATTAAGCAAACTCAAAGGAAGGATATCAAGGGCCCTTCCCATCTCCTTTACAAGCACATAAAATTGGTTGGAAATGAACTCTAACTGTATGAGACTCCAAAGAGAACTTCCATCCTTGCAACCTTGGATCAAAACTTTAGCTCTTCTTATCACAGAGAAGAGTTCTGTGAGACACAGGATTGAAGAAGGAGGAAGTGGAGTATCCGTTTCTTGAATCTCTTCAAACAAAGAAGAAAGAAGCTTGATCCTCCTTGTCATGGATGAAACGTTTCTTATGTGTAAGAAGGGAAACTTCTCCATTGAGCCAACTTCTTTGGATATGTGAATCAAAGAATCTAGCAAAGATCCAGATGGAAACAAGCCTTGGGAGATCATCATTGCAGATAGAACATCATTCATTGTGCCCCTCACCTTAATAGGACGTTTCTGTTCATTCTCATGGTTCACAAAATTTGCTCTCTACAAGGAATTGGATTATTCTGAGAGCTTCTTTAAGGCATTTTTTTACATTAAAATAATTGTCAGAGGTTAGCTGTTTAATTAAATGCATGCTATTTTTTGTCTCTTTCTATTTGTGCAGTTAGTGCTAAAGACAGGAAGAAAAATATTAAAGAGAGTTGAGTATTACTTGGGGTGCTGCCATTTGGAGGATTCTCCTAGCTTGCAAGATTAGTTGTATTCCCCAGACAGTTTTTTTATTCAAACGTGAATACTTTGAGCCATTTTTCTATTCAGACTTGAATATTTTATGACAATGAGCTTTGTCAAACATAGTTTTCAGCTGCTTGTTCTGTTCACCTTTGAAAATATTTTTCATGATCTCCAAATGAATATTTTTCATGCAACTTGATGTTTGATAAATGCAGAGTCCAACAGCACCCCCAACAGATGCATAACATTTCATTTTCTTGATCTGTCGTTTCAGGAAAGTTAAGCACTATACGTAGATTATGCCTCCTGAAATACTCAACGCCTCATTAATAATCGTGCCATCCACTTACCACTTCTGATCCCATGTTTGTCATCTCTACCATATAATCCAATATTACAGCCTCTATAATATGCCAACTAGTGTATCACACTTTCTCTAACATTTTATAAAAAAATTATTAGTTAGAATTCATTCGAAAACTATAATTTTCAGACTATCTCATTTCTTGCTTAACAAGTATTTTTCCTTGAAAAAACAGATTCATAAATAATGATAAAGTTTATAACTTCCAATCTATCTCAGAAAAAGTATTTAGAATCAGAGTGATGGAAAAAATGTTACTAGGATTTCTCATTGTAACATAATGTTTTGGGCAACAGATATTCCACGCAAATTATAGTACCAAACATAGAAGAAAATCGTAGATTTCTCATAAAATCAATGAACCAGATCAACATAAAAGTGGCTCTACCAATCACTAAAACAATTCTGGAATTTTGAATCATTAAAAGGTCTCCACTGTAGCAAAATGTGTATGTTTCTGGCCGTTTCGTCTGCTATGTAGGTCAAACTTTTTCCCTACAATTCTTATAATCATTATCATGACATGTCCCAAACAAGTAAAACTAATGTACTTTCCATATACAAATATTTGTGCCTAGGAAAAAGATAGGTGAACAATATTTTAGGCACCTAATACCACTTCACTTGTCAATTTTTAAAATTTGTTTCTCTACATAACTCTGAGAAGAGAACAACTTCAATTGCCAAGTTTTGTGTAAAAAAAGTAATGGAACCTTCCTTGAAGTACTATCTATGTCTTTGGCTTCTTGCATTGGTGTAACATCACCCATGTTTGGTGTTTATGTTAAATTTTCCGCATTGTTATGTAATTTTGTCGATGGATGACAAAAGTGAGGAAGTATGCAAAGAGATGTGGATAACACACCATACAACTATGGAAATACAACAATTTTCTAAAAGAATTTTGATAATCTCAAAGTTTCTAATTATTGAAGGAAAGTACAAATATTCAATATAGAAATAAAAAACATAACATAATAGCATAGATTGAACTTTGAAAATATGGTGTGGGAATGGCAGTGCCCCAGGCCCTTTTGGGCCACTCAAGTTTCAGCCCAGAACAAATTTAAATATTACTCACCTTTGTTCATCATACACGTACTATAAAACACAGTTCTTAAAACAAAAATAAATAGAATAATAGAACATTAATATTAGATCGTACCATAAAATATTATCTAATATTTAATGGTAAGAGAAATATAAATTCAATTAAAATGATTTAAAATACTTTCATACACTGTATAACATCTATTTTGATACCACCCAAAAAAAAAAAAAAAATGCCACTCCTTTTAGCTTATTAGTCTCAAGCTGTCTTTGGATATTCATTTGGAACCTTCTAAATTGAAAATTCTTTTTCAAAGAAAAAAAAATCAAAGAACTAAGAAAAGAGATGAATTTTACCATCACCTAAATTCCAAACACACATTCATAGTTTTACTTTTTTGGTAATAAAGATGAAAAGAAAATAGAAAAAGGAAATGAAAGAATCTTAGCCAGTATCTCTACGATTGCATGATATTACATGGATTCCGTGTCACCGCTTAATTATTTAAAAAAAAATTCCTGAAATTTTGTATACTATTCTCGATGACTTCATAGCCCAGTGTAATTTGTTTCTTTTCAAATATATTTATCATTAATTTCAATTAAAATATTTTATAACTGGTAAAGATGTTCATTTAAAAAAATTATTTTGAATGTAACTAGTAAAAATTAATTGATATTAATTAAATTTGTTAATTAACGTAATATATAGTTAAATTCATTTGTATTTGAGTTTAAAAATAATATATGTTTACTTTTATTTAATATTATTCACGAAACAATTGGAAAAACATTAATGATGATCTGTTTCTGTCAAAGATGAAAAACAGAGAAAATAAAACGCATTACGTGAGAAGAAAGTGTAAGTTCCAAATGTTTTATATCTTAAAAAACAAATGTGAGATATAATTGATTATATTACTGAGCATGATTATCCTGTAAATAAGTAAAAATCAATTATATTTTAAAAAAAGTAATAAATAAATTTCCATCAATAAAATTATTATTATAAAAAAATACTAAAAAATATTATTAATAATAAATAAACTTATCTTATTTTATATTCATCTTCACTTTTTTCTAATTTAAAAAAATTAATTAATTTATTTATTTTCCTCCCTCAATTTTGATCATCTATTCTAAAATACAATATATATACGATTACTGAAAACATATTTGATGCAAACTTGAAGGCGAGTCAACCTGTGATATTGTTTCAGGCCAAGATTCCCTTGAATGAAGCCTAAACCCTATGGAATTTGTTATAGGCAATGCCTTACAATTGACTTACTATTTAACTTCAAAGCCATAGGGTAGGTGCCTCCATCATCATCCATAGGCATTAAAAATGTCAATACTTTCCAACTTTTAAACCATTTGACTTCACTTAAATGCTCAATCATTCCCAGTATCTTCATCTATCTTACTACTATTTCTTCCCACTTTTTATCTCATCAACTTTTCATATTTTTCATGTCACAAAATTCACTGGATTTCTTCTACAGCACCTCAAGACATATCGCTTTACAGAACCTACTTTGATAATTAGGTAAACTTATGCACAGTTCATTTTCAAGAAAAAAAAAAGTTAGAAGAAAAGACTTTAAATAATGTTTATAATGAAAAATTCAAAGAATGCATAATCCCTCCACTGGTGTGTGACAGTCACTTTCGAAAATAAAGAAAAAAGACGCAATAATTTGTGCATGTCACTGATTTGGTAAGCAGTCAAAGAGTCGATGATATTTGGTTTTACTTTTTTTGGTTTCACTTTAACGTGATTTCTGAACCAAGAAGCTGCAGGCACTGTCTTGATTATTTAGTAGGAAGAGAAAATTTTGAGGTAGCTTTTGTAAACGGTAACTGGTCTGGGTTAGTACCATTCCCCTACCTCCTCTTCGGCTGTTATGTTTTTCCTTCATTTATTGAACACAGCTTCAACATGTTTTCTCTTCCACTGTTATGCTTTCGCCAATCATTCTTTAATTCACACTCTTTCACCCAACATACCTATTATAGAACATTAACAATAACATCAAACATATAAAACTTTAGTAATCCAAAAATTAACATCAACCATCTTAAAATATTAACTCGTGTTTAATGATATAAAAAATTATTTAAAACATTTGGCATATGACATTTCTATAATGAGATTAAACTAATTTTAGATGCAGATGTCGATATCTGAGAAGAAAGACAGATAAGATCATCTTCTATGAGTTATTTTTTATATTAAAAAATAGAAAATATAAATTTATGAGATTATGAGATTATATAATTTTTAAATAATTTGATATTTATTTTATTCAATTAGTATAAATTTTCTTAATAAATTTTAACAAACTCATTATCTCTATTATTTTACCTTATTTTATTTATTTTTAAATTATTTAATTAAATAATTATAAAAAACATTTAAACAACTTATCATTATAAATAAGATTTTTTCAATAAAAAATTGTTTCAAACAAATATAAGTAAATAACTCCCGAAGATTCATGAAAATTAATAATAAATTCAAGATACTGAAAATCTGTTTTTCACTAAAAGATGTTGTTTTCCTTTTCTGCTCAAAGATTAGTAAAAAAAATATTGTCCCAACTTTTTTTCAAATTTTTATTTTCCCATTTTTTTTAATTGTAATCAATAATTAAATAATAATTATTTAAATAATAAAAATTATTAAAACTAAATATATATTCTTTTATTTTTCACATGTTTTATTTTTTACCTCTCAATCTAAATAATCTTATTTCATTTTTGTTTTTTATATTTATTTTATTTTTCACTTTCTTAAATTCATTCTTAATCCAAACAAAGATAAGGGGTGTCTTACAATCATTTAGATCATATTCCAAAATCTAAATTAATCAACTAACTTTCGTCAATATTTAAATTATTCAATTACTTTTGTACAAAGCAGCTGAACCAAACTATCTCTATTAGGAGCATCTTGGTTCAATTAAAATCAACCGAGTCCTCTTTTGAATAAATACGTAAAACTCTATTTTGAAAATAAATACATGATCTTATTATTAAAAGATGTAACCGACAATTTTTTTAAAAGTAATTGACTTCCATCAAATTAATTATATAATTTTTAAAAATATATAATTATATCATAAAACTCCATATATAATAATAATAAATGTATTTTATTAATCTGGTTTAGATTTATCAAATTCTTAAATCATAAATAATATTTAAATCAATCAGCATCTAGATTAATTAGTTTGATTTAGATTAGATTTGATGAGACTAGAATTATAAATCAATTTATTGGTTGAATGTTAATGAGCCTTAGTTTTTAATTGTAGTTTATAAAAAAATTAATGTACATGGTAATTCAACTAACGGTGATACAGTACATTTTCAATAAACCAAAAAATAAATAATAGGACATTAATAATGGTACTCGAGTTTAATAAATAGGTGTGAGAGAAAAGTATTGTAGTTGCAGCTTTGACCGAGTCAAGCTAGGGCCAGCAACATGAAAAATAAAATATTAATTTATTCATTCAGAGATTTTTATATACAAATATGTGAGACTGTATAATCTAAATATAATTAAAGATTCCACTTATATATTTAATAATTAAAATATATTTATATAACAAATTACTGTTTTTCTATTTTTATCATCAAATATTTAATCACATGTTTATTTCTCTCTCAAAATATTTATTTAGATAACTTTATGTGTAAGAGATGCGGAGCAGAGAATAAAATATATGTTTTTTAATTACATGAATTAGAAGGATCAATTTAAACTGAAGATCAAAATTAAACATAATTTAAATGTATTGAAAAAATAAACTTCAAATAAACTTTAAAGAATTAAAAATACATTTAAGTGTAAATATAATTAGGGTTTAAAGTTTAAATCCATCTAAGACTTGAACCAAATCAATTCATGAAGATCCGAGAAGAAATGTTGAGAAAAAAAGAAAAATCAATGTAAATTCTGAATTCAATCCTCAATTTCTCTTAATTATTGGTTGATTAGAAAAAAAAATCATCTGTATTTATACGTTATTTGTAAAATTTAATACTATATTAAAATTATATTTTTTATTAATTATATTTTTATTTGTGTTATATTTAATAAAAATAATAAATTATTATAAATAATTTCAGTTAAAAAAATTAAAATGATAAAAATATTATTACAAATATAATAATTTTATTAAAAATAGTATTTATTTTAATCTATATAATAAAATCTTAAATGATAAATAATAATACTATTAAGTTATTATAAATAATTTAGATAAAGAAATATAAAAATATTATTAAAAACTACAAAATAAATTCTTAAACGAGAAATATTAAAAAATGTAAAAAATAATATAGAGTGGGACATTATAAAATGGGGAAGATAAAGGTCACCTCAAGCTGAAAGTGATGATGTGGTGGTAGAGTGCGGAAAGGGATGGAAGATGATAATGCACCCACCCTCCTCCAATTTCTAACGCAGACCCCACTTCTTTAATGCCCGTCGTTTTCCCTTCAAACAAACAACTCACAATTGGGTCTGCCAACCAACCTTCCATGCCAACCGTCGGATTGAAATCAACGCTCCACCTTCACCAGCTACACTGGATCGCAGAACAACAGATCAAACCTTCCGCAAAATCCGTGTTGGGAAAAAAATTTAACTCTTGAAAATAAAATTATATATATATAAAATTTATAAGATTTAGATTTTCTTTTTAAATTGAGTAAACTTTAAATTGTATAAAAAATTATTTTATATTTAATAAAAAGGTCACTTATTATATTTTTTATAACAGTATGAAAAACTTAAATCTCACATCTATTCTAGAAAAAAAAAATACAATATATAAATATAAAGTAAAAATAATTTATAATATTCATAGGTCTATCCTTTCAGTACTCAATTAATTAAAAAATAAACATTTATATTTAACTTTATTTTTTCGGATGATATCTATATGAAATGATAACGAGTAAATTAAATAATATATTATTAATAAATAAATATAAAAATATTAAAAATTAAATTTATAAATATATAAATAAATATAATTAATAATTATTAAATTTTCAAAGTATAATTTTTAAGTTAAACATATAAAAGAAACTAAAATACAAACACACATGATTTTCCTCCCAGCGTCAAACCCTTACGTACTGCTCTGAAACGATTCGCAATGTTTTCTTTTCTGGGAAACTTTTATTTTTTTCCAAATATGGGGTCGAATACGAAGTTCAAATGCTTATATTCTTGTAAATTTACTGTATCACTAAGACTGAATCTGAGACTCAGATATTTTATAAACTCATATCATATTAAAAATAAATTTATTTTATGTTATAACATTTTGTAAAATAAAATTTACACATTAATAACATCAATAAATTTAGTCCGGTATATAAATAATCTAGTTTTGAATATTAGTCTTTACACTAGATTTTCCTTTTTCTTATTTGCTGCATATGTTTTAAAAAAAGTGAAATATGTAATAATTCATATACAACAGTTTAAAACTGAATAAATTTAAAAAATAATTTGAAAATAAATAATTTTTTTAAAATTAATTAATTTAATTTGAGAGTAAAATTGAATTGAATTATAATATATATTATTAAAATTAAAACATTAAATAAGTTTACTTAGTTTATTTAGGACATATATGATTAATTATCAAAATTAATATGAAAGAATTAAAACTATAAATATCATAATTAATTATATATAATATTTTTATAATATATTTTTTATTGAATAATTATTTATTACAATATATTTAATAATTCCATAATATAAAATATTACAAAAATCCTTAAATCAAATTACCAAATATTTATTTAATTTTATTTGATTTAAAAAAATTAAAATAAAATTAAGCTAAATAAACTATATTTAAATTTTAGTTTTAATTTAAATAATTTTTTAATACACAATCAACATAATAAATATTTCTAATTATAATTTTTATTATATTTGTAATAAATAATAATCAGAGTCTAATAAAGACAAAAATATATTGCTATAACATACGAATTTTGTATAAATAATATGCTTTATACTTTTATTAAAATGTAAAGACTAAACGTAGGAAATAAAACAAATTAAAATTTATTTAAAAGAATTATAATAAACAATATATGGGTGTAAGAAATAGAACATAAAGATAAAATTGTGTAAGAATAAGATTCCCATAAGAAATTAAATTGTATCTAATTCTAGTAGTTTTCTTCTTCTTTTTTTCTTTTTTTCCACCTTTTACACAATAGTATGTCATACAAGATTTTAAATTCTTTTGATAAAGATTAATATATTTTTTACAAGATACAAAACTAATTGTATTGTGTGTATTCAGAACCTCTAATTACACAGAAACAATTATGCGTTGTTGATGATGGTGTTTCGTAATATAAAGAAATTAGTTTAACAATAATACTGAAGTAAAAAAACATGAAACAGCTTTAACCTGAATTAAAAAAAAAAAAACTTTTTAATTATAATTTTGAAGTAATTTTGGAGAGAGAACATTACTACTACCTAAATGTCGGCAAAAGGTTATCAATTAATGTCGAGATTTTGGGGGCAGATGAGTTGAATCAATGGATCAGCATGACCTAGAAAATGATCAATCAAACAATTAATTATAAGGTAAGTTCATGCATGTTGGTTTATGTAATGTAAGAGACAGTTAACGTGTTGTAGGAACTGTTTTGTTCGATATACGACAAAGAAAATGTTGAGTGTTTAGAGTATTTAGTACGTGGATTCCCACATATGTCAAGGTTAGCATGGTGGGGTTGGTCACGAATGACTCTGAAAATCACAACGGGTGCTTCTTGTTGCAATAAAACAGCACGGTTAGACCCACTTCCTTCGGCAGAGAGATTAAGAGAATCAAACTCACAATAGTAGCGTTGCTGTCTCTATACTAAATCCTGTCTCAAACATGTAGTGAACAGTCACCTTCACCCGGTCCACCCTCTTCACTCTACTTCACCATAATTCACACACCAAGTCTCTCCTTCTTTCTTCTTCCTTTTGATTTTTTTTTTTTTGTTTAATATATATTTCTTGTCTTTAATAACCAAACAACACCGGAGAGAGACAACCAAATTTGGCGGTAAAACGAGACTGGTCAGAACATATCTGTGTTTTGGGGCACAATTTCATGGTCACCATATAATCAAGAGAAGAATCAACTTCTAAATCCTATTATTGTTATGACAAAAGTGAAATTCAAAAGACCAAGAAAATCATTATTATTATTCTGCAGTTCCTATTATTATAAGAGTGTCTCTTCAAGTTGAGTAATTTATCTCAATAATTTGCGATATGATTTAATGATTCAATAGAAACTTTGAAATAAAACTATTCCAATCATGATAGAAGAAGAACACCAGCCAAAAGCAGTTGTTCTAATAGCTAGCTTAGGAATTATGAAACCAAAAGATTTCAAAAATAACACCAACTCATTGAGGGAGTGCTTATTTATTAGCATATACAACACAGTCGCTGCTTTTGATTGATCAGAATTCAGAACAATTACAACAAAGGAGAGGGAAGTAGAGTGGGGGGACATAAGATCACAATATATAAGGGATTTGAATGAAATCATCGACCGATTCATGTCTGGTCAATGGTGGAGATTGAGAGGAAGAGGTGTGGCAGAAGTTGTCATTGAAATCAGCGAAAGAGAAAAATTCAGGGAAGGGTGGCAAACTAACATGGGAATTGAAGGTATCGGTGGTGGCGGTGGTGGTGGTGGTGGAAGGAGTGGTGGCAGCAGCAGCATAACGAGCAAGACGGTCCTTAGCAATGGCAAGGTCATGTTGAAGCTCCACCATCTTCCTTTGAAGTAGAGCTATGGCACCAATGCATCCATAAATGGGGTCCCTAAGCCTCGCTTCTGCCTCATAAGCAAGAGAATTCACCGTGTCCTCTCTCTGCTCCTCAGGAACTTCGATCAGGATCTTGCTCACATTGCTAGCTCCAAACACCTTGTGGACCTTGGCGAATTTCTTGCACTCATCAGAGCGAAAGTAAGGTGCAAATATACAATTTGGTATGCATCTTCTCTTCAAGAACTTGCAGGCTGCACAAGAGGAACTTGAACGTGGCTCATAACCCTTCATGGCTCTCAAATCTTCTTTCCACTTTTCTATAGTGTTTGTGTTTGCACTTATAAGTAGCTGGTTCTCTCATTAGGTATATTGCAGAATTGGTATTTAAGGCCATCCACGTTTCCTTGCCCATTGGCTTTGCCAGGTCGCAGGTTGGGGCTTGCATGGGCCAGTGCTGTCTTTTTCCTACATTTTTTTTTCATTTGTTCATCATTTTTTTTTTTTTTGCATCTATGGCATTCATTCAAATTGGGAGAGCAAAAGTAGGTCCAAATAATTGATTCATATGGACAATGGGTGGTATGAGTTGGTAGTTTTCAAGTTAGATATGATAGTTCATGAATAAAGATGGGGATATTTTGATTGATTGGAGAAAAGAAATATTCTCAATAAAAGCAAAATTATCCCTTGGCAGTGAGAGGTATGGTCACTAGAACGAAAGCAATAAGATCGAATTGAGTACTTTCGATGTAGTTGGAATCTTCAGTACAACATAGTGGAGCCAAAATTAAAGTTAGTGAGATGTTGTTTTTATGCTTTCTATATCATTAGATATTTCGTTTTTTCCGTTATTTTTTCTTCTCATAGTAGCCTCATCAACCTGGCTTTTAAAACTATATATATTATCATATTCAGTTACTAGATTGCATTTTAATTATACAAAAATTGAGTGAAAGGAAAGATTAATGTGAAAAACATAAGTTTTCAGTTACTGACCTGAAACACCTTAAAATTTCAAGGATCAAATTCTCTGTCATGTCCTTATTTTTTGCAATTCCCGTTGCTTTCCAACAAACTGAAACGGAAAGTTTAAGGTGAAGCACATGCAAACAAAATGAATGCGTGTAAAAAATATAACCACATCAAATTAAACATCCTTTGAACTTGCATAGGTTTCCTTTTCATTCTTAAATAAAAGAAGAAATAAAGGGCGTCACTGTGTGTGGGGTGTATCTAAAACACTTGTTACTAAATAAGAATAATTTTTGGTGAAAAATAAATAGATATTCAAATTTTTCTCTTATTAATTCATATTAGAATAAACTATGGTAATTTAATAATAACATATTTAATAATAATAAAACCAAAAGAGGTGGTAATCATGAAGTGATTGACTTCCATTGTTGCAAGGGTGGCCAAAACCAACTTTAATATTAGATTAATTACTCGATTAAGGAATCTAGACTGAAAAGTGCTTTTATCTTTCCGCATTTCTGGAGTGTACAGACAATAGTAAGGGTCAATGAAACATCGATGATATGCTAAAGATTTTATATTTTATCTTTAGAAGGCCACTTCACACTGAAATTGATGCTACAAAGATAAGGATTGAAGTTAAATTAATGTTTATGACTATATAAAGAAGACTTAAAACAGTATTAAGAATTAAGATGTTTGAGGGCTCATATAACGACTTTTTTTTTTCATTGCACATTACTGTGGGGTGCAACTGTGAAGATTTTCTATCTCATTGTGGAATCTAATTTAATAATTGCGGATTGCATTGTTAGGTGGACTGATCATAGCCCCATTTTTGGAGGGACTTGCATCATATCTTCACACACTTTTTAAATTATTAAAATTACACTTTATTTTTTAGATTCTACGATCATCAAAACTTTAAAGTGTGAACTTATTAAAATACATTGTAAGTTGAAGACTATCATTAACATGTAGTTTCAACCAAATTTTATATCATTTACGATTAAATTCCTTAATCTATAAAAAATAATAGTGTATTTTACATTTCTCTCCTCTTTATCAAATACACTGTGGAAGGAGAAAGTGACGAAACAGAAAGACAAAGAAGGACAGTGGTCTGGTAAGGGGAACTGTGCCACAAGGCCACTGTCAGAGCCATAAATGAATGACGGTGTCATTTGCTTTTTATTCGAAAACCCCAACACCCTCGTGAAATCCTACATGTTAATCGTAAAAAATATATAATTTGGTTGAAACTACATGTTAATGATAGTCTTGGACTACTTAATAATCTTAATTCTTACACTTTAAAGTTTTGGTGATAGTAGAATCTAAAAAATAAAGTGTAATTTTAATAATTTAAAAAGTGTGTGAAGATATGATGCAAGTCCCTCCAAAAATGGGGCTATGATCAGTCCACCTAACAATGCAATCCGCAATTATTAAATTAGATTCCACAATGAGATAGAAAATCTTCACAGTTGCACCCCCACAGTAATATGCAATGATAGAAAGTCGTTATATGAACCTTCCAGCATCTTAATTCTTATACTGTTTAAGGTCTTGTTTATCTAGTCACACACATTAATTTAATTTCAACTCTTATCAGTGAGGTAGCCTAATAAAGATAAAATATCAACTGTTACCATTTTCTGTACATTCCGCAAATGCTTAAAGATAAAAACACCATTAGTATTCCTTAATCGAGTAATTAATCTATTTATAAAGTCAGCTTTGCCCCCTTAACAATGGAATAGGAGAGAGTAATCAATGGAAGGATTGAACAACTATGCCATGTATTATTTAAAAAAATTGATTGATAACCCAAATAAATAACTTAATATTATATAGTATTATTTTAATTATTTTTTGCTTGTTTATAGTGTTGTCAAATAATTTAATTGGAGAGTGATTATATATACCAAAAGTTTTGGATACATCTACTTCTTGACACTCATTCAAAAAAAAGGCAAGAAACAAGTGGGAGAAATATTTTTATTTAAACTTTTAAATAGATAAAGTTAAATTATGAGTGGGTGTTTTGAATAAATGTGGTTACGTTGAATATTTTCCTATTTAATTCATCCTATGAGTCTAATCAGATCTCATCTTCAAATATATAATATTAGATTAAATATTATTTTCAACCAACAATAATAATCGGTAAATATCATCAATCAAATAAGTTCGTGATGTTTCTTTCTGTATAAAAAAATGGAAAAAATAAGTTTATTATTTTGAAAACAAACATAGAATAATGGTGAATCAATTGAATCGTTAAAAGTATTAATTGGAAAATGTTTTGAAGAATACAAATAAATATCTACTCTCAATAATAAACAATATGTTTTTTTTTTTTTCAAAAAGCATCCAATGATATCGATTGGGCTTCATGTCCAACCAAGCATGCAATGTTCTTCACTCATATTTTAGAAGTTTAAGAAGCAAAAATATGTTGTATATAAATTTTGGTAAAGTCAAGTATGAGATATAAAATTGAAATAAAGACCTATGTGTCATATTGTAGGAAAAATCCTCAAAATAATTTATTGATGGTATTTCTCGTATCTTCTTCTTGTCACTTCATATACATCTATACTTTAAGAACTTAACAATTTGTTTTCTTGTTTCAGAACTGAAAATTCTGGAACTTTACTATGTAGCTTGAAGATAATGAACACACGTAATTTAGAATAAAACTAATAATTTTTTTAATACTATGCAAACAAAATTTATATTATTTTTCTCTATTGTATTTTTTTATTTTATGATTTTGTATGATTTCATATATTTAATTGACATCTTCATAACATTTTTTTATCAGTATTGTTAATTTTATTTTATATATATTTAACAATAATATTACTATAAAAAAAAAAAAAGCATGCTTCATATTCATTACTCTTGTTATCCTTTAGTTTTTTTTTTCTAATAATATTTATCATGATTTTATTCACTATACCAATGTAAGGATATATATATATTTACATACTTACTCCACGCACATAAAATTTCATAGTACTTCCTTCCCTTTTCAAGGCAAGCATAATTTCTATAAAAAAAGAAAACTCGAAGTACAAAAGTTTTACCCCAAATATGTTTCAATCGCTTAAGAGATGACAGATATAAGATATTAAGGTTTTTCACAATAGTAGTAAAGAACTAGAGTATCTTGGAGACAAATTCGAGAATGTATTTTTTTTGTTTTCAATGTATATATTAGAGCATGCATGAGGCACGTGCTCATTCTCCATCCTTTTTTAGTTTTCGATCCACTTTGATACTATTTTGACTGTCATAGTCCTTACAAGTTATAATTGTCACCACACTTGTCGAAAATTGAAAGAATGACTAGGACCCCTACGCATATGAAGACACCATCTAAAGATTCCATTCTTGAAATAATGGCCAACAACATTAAAGGTATTTCATTTAAGTTATGGTAATTTTTTTTTTTATATTTGATGATGTCAAAAGGACAAAATTAATTTGGGCATCGGGAAGCATATGAAGTTTTCAACAAAAAATAAATAAAAGATATATTGAAATTAAGAACAAGGACAAACGGGATTTTCTTAGTGATTCTTAAAAGTTATAAATGTTTATAATATAGACTATAAGCAGATTGTAAATTATAGATAGATAAATATAAATATAATATAGATTTCAAAACAAAGAAATCGAACGTAGAATACCATAAAAGTTTTTATCATTATTTAAAGGATCCAAGCTTTGAATAATTATTGAAATATACCTTATTTTTTAATTTTATAACAGGAGATAATTTTTTATTTAGAACCTTTGGGCTGTGTATAACTCTGCGGAGCAGAATCTTCGGCCCGATAATATCAGAAACTGTGAAGTCTAAACCCATTTTTGTTCTTTTTTTTTTCTTCTACCGAAAATATCATTTTCATTTCCTGCAAAAGTAAACACAAAATCCATTTTTATTTCGTAAACTTTTATTTGATACGTGTTTTTATAATCTGGGGATTTATTTTACCCATTTCAGAAGATGGAATGTAAAAATAAATTGACAAAAATTTCATGATTTCTTAAGGTAATAAATGATTTGGGGCCTACCCATAAAGTATAAACACTTTCTTTCTGCACCCCTATAATTCTCATTTGCACTCCCATAAGCAATGCAATGACCAAATTAGCCTTTACATTTTAAAACCATTTTATTTTTAAATTTATTGCTCACATCCGCCGTACCCTGCATGAATTTCTTAAAAGGGAAAATATTTTTTAATATACAATTCTTTCTGTATATAATCCTAAAATATTATTATTTTTTATTTATGAAAAAATAAAATAAAATGAAATAAGTAATAATATAAAAATCTAAAAATAGGTATGGATTTTTGAAAAAAAATTGTTAAACTATCATAACCTTTAAAAAAAAACACAATTTGTAGAGATGAATGGGGAAATTCATAATCTAATTTAATTAAAAAATGGGGTCATATTTTTATTATTTTACTTCAATCTAACCCAACATAGAGTATATCATATTAGATTGTCTTGATTTAATTGAATTATCGATTTTTGAAAATAAATTTAATTAAAATTTGTAATTTTAAAATATATATTTTAAAAATAAATGATATTAATTAATATTTAAATAATTTAATATTCAAAAAATATATTTAATTAAAATATAATAAATTAATAAATTAAATAATAATTATATTATTATTTAATAATTTTAGTTGAATTAACTTTCGGAATTTATATACAAAATCCGTTACGTATAGGACATTGGTTTATATTAAACTGGATTGGGTTTCATCCAAAGAGCAAATTCAATCTATTTTATTTGAATTGAATTAAGTTATTAAATTACTCCGACCAATAAACATGCTTTATTTTGGATAAGTTACGTAGTATAGGTTTTAGATTACCTACTCCATTAAAATTGTATCTAACTCTCCAAATTTCATATTTCTGAGAAAAATATATTTTGAAAATCTTATTTTATAATGAAAAAACTACTTTATAAATTTTAAATATTTGCGTTTATTCACCTTCATATTATCTCCTTACACATTCCTATTATCGTGTGATAATGAAAATAATCTTTCGAAATTTTTATACTTTTTAAGATAAAATCCAAAATTTCTGAACTATATGTTGTGGAAACATTTAAAAAAATAAAAAATAAGTATTCCAAAGCATGTAATTCATGATTCAATTTTAATTATCTGATTGATTATTCTAATTAATATATAGTAGAATATATTTCAAAATGTTGTTTCTGTAAACATAAAATTTAAATATTACACAAAGCTTTATTTGGAAAGCTTTTTAACACGTTAGATGGAAATTGGGATGGTCAACCATTGGGATGGGTGTGTTGGATGTGATGGGCCAAGTGAATTGGTACATTAAATTTTGGAATAATTAATCTAGAAATTTTTTTATTCACCAATTCAAAATATTCCTAAATATTTTTCTGAATGTGAAAGAAAGATATAAGGACAATATTGTTATTTTAATAAAGTATGAAAAAAATCATGGGATGGGAGTGGAGAAAGAGAGCGCAGTATCAGTGATGCAGGGTAAAGGGGTTTTCATCGAATGTGGGCTACACATTGGGTCCGGCCTCTTGGAATACGATCAAACGTCTGACAAAAAAGTTTGTAATGACCAAAAATATGCAATGATAATGGTCCAATACAAGAAGAAAAAATGGCCCACTTGTCACTGAACATTTTATGAAAAATGAAATTTCTTCTATTGGATAGTTACCGTTGTTCTTGTTACGAATCCAGTTTCAAATTTTACAGAATATTGGAGAACATAGTTTTTTATTAGTTTATATTTTTAGTTGGAATACACAAAAAATGTAAATATTTTTATATTCAAGGATTTCTGCTTAGAAAACGAGAAAAATCATCATAAAATAAGAAGTTCATTAACAACATTATATTTTTGGTATTTGCAACATACTGGTCTGTAAGAAATTGCGAACATCTAATTTTTAATTGAGTTTTTATTTTATTTTTTACTTTTTTTGTGAGATTATGTATTTTTATCAAATCATTTCACTGGTTCAAATTTAGGTTAAGTGGTATAGTTTTGTATATCAACAGTGCATGAAGCACAAAATTCATGAAGAGCTAGTAAGATAATAATTTAATATTTTATTTATATATTTAAATTTTATTTTTTCATCCTCAATTTTATCTCTTAAAACTTAATACTCATTTAATATGTTTATAATTTTATTTTCATCTTTCAAAAATTTTATTTTTATTTATTTATTATTTATTAATAATATATTATTCCATCCTCGCTAACAATAATCAAAATTCCCCACTTAAAAAAGATATTATTGATGGGAAAAAACCTAAATTTGTCTTGTAACAGCTAATTAAAGTTATTTTTTGATTGATACCTGAAAATATGGCGTTTAATCAGCATAAGTTGTTATAAGTAGCATAATTTCCGTTTTAACAGGGATTCCAATTTCTAAGCAAGCATGCTGCCCCGTCGACCTTGTCTAAGTCAAAGATTCTTGTCATGGAAATCATGCAAAGAAGACATTTGGGCATTTAAGGAATAAATTAGAAGATGCATGTCATACTTAAATGAACACTCCTATATGGTAAGACCCAATTCTAGCGTCAAAATCATTACTTTATTAACGCAAAACTCAACATGGGTCAACATAGTGAGTTACTGGAATCACTGGTTCAGCCTACTTAAAATGATTGTAGTATGTTATCTAAATGATTTAGGTTAGTTCAGATGCGTGAATGAAGTTCATCATCACTGAGGAGCACATGACAGATTTAGTTAGTGTTGCAGTATCCCATAAAGAACTAAAATTGCAGATGAGACAAGATATGGATACACAACAGTGACTGTTTGTCTGTTACACATTACTGGAGGAAAGTCGAAAATTAAACTATTCTTAACTTCTTACTTGCCAAGACCCTATCGTAGAGACAGAGGTAGTGTCGTAGAGATTGCATTGAAAGGTAAAGGCTCGTCGTTCTTAACTACATGATAGAGCTTATGCCACTTGGGTTGGTCCACCATGTGAGATACGTCATGGCAATGGTGGACATTTTCATATTGCAAAATACATACACGATTCTTATTGCTAAAACCTCAACCATAATAACATGAACCATAAGCATAGTAGTAGTAGTAGTAGTAGTAGTTGAATTTGGTGGTAGAGATAAAATTAGCGATAGGTTAGATTTTAGCGTAATAGCGAATATAGGAGGGTGAAAAATGAGTCACAGGTGCTAGGCACGCATGAAAAGGTCGTAATTGTCAACGGCGGAAACGGGGAGAGCCACCATGACCTTGACACTGACAGAGTCGTCCCTCACCGGCAAAAACAAACAGTACCTATCGCAGCACACGGGTCCCACGTGGGAAGGCTTTCCCATACCCACGTCAATATTCTCCAACCCTAGCCTCGACCACTGCGACACAATCAACACCCCAACCGGGTCGGGGCACCCTTTCCTGTCCCACACCCAATCCATCACGCCCCTCACGTGCTCGTTCCCCACCCTCTCCTTCGCCCGCTTCACCAGACCCGACCCGAACCCAATCCCTCTCTCCTCCAACTCCCTCGCACTCGTCTCCGCACACCCCAAAACAAACGCGTTCCCATAATACCCCTGGGGCAAACCCGGGTTCACACGGTTCCGCACGTTTATGCTAAACACCAGCTTCAATTTCTGGTTCCCCGGAAACCTTATCGCTCTCGCCCAGCTTCTCCACACGTGCGCCGCCAGCACCTCGAATGACGTGTACTGTGCCGACTCGCCTGGTCCATTCGTGCACCGCGCCACTCGCTTTAACTCGTTCAGCCGCGTCTTATCGAACGTAATCGATGTTGGTTTTAGTCCGGTTGAGACCAAGCTCATGAAGCCGCATAGGTCAGGGACTCGGTTAAACTCGGGGTGACCCGCTGAGTCGACCCGCGTCTGCTTCCCACGAGGCGAGTTCAGAAGGTGACGCTCCCAAACTGGTTTGTGTTTGCACCTGTGACTCGTCTCTCGTTTCTCGTTGGCTAACTCCGCGAAGTAGTTGAGAAACTCCGCGCTACCGATGCCGTCGCAGAGGCAGTGATTGATCCCGACGGCGATCGCGGCTGCGCCATCGGCGAGCCACGTCAGCTGAAGCACCAGCGGCGGGGAGCCCTTGAGCACGTCTGCCACTTGTAGTGACAACAGCGGCCTCCAGTGCGTAACTGTTTTAGGCGCTTTTTCAAAGTCGTTGGCTTTGTAACGGGTAGCGAAGGCTTCTATGAACACCGCGCCTTGGGCCGCGCACACCACCTCCAGGCCTGGGCCTTCGGGTCTGGACCTGACACGGCCCGCGAAGGGGTAGTAGGGAACGAGGGCTCGGGCTAATGCCGATTTGAGACGGGCCGTGGTGTTAGCCTGGTCCACGCCAGGGCAAGGCTTGTAGACTAACAGATACTCTATGGTGAAACGAAGAAAAAGTTGTGAATCAAGTGCGGATAGAGCGAGCACGCACGGTGGAGTAGGCTCAGAAGGTGTAACCACCGATGCTTCTTTTACACGCACCGAACTTCCCATTTTTGTTCACTGATCAGTTTTTTGGCTTGGAACTTCGGAATTTTGTAACTTTTGCAACTTGGACTTCAGGAAGAGAAGCTTAAAATGGTGGTGTTGGGATGCATATACTCAAGAGATGCCTGATTTTGGAACAAACAGGTTGCGTGCAAGTGTTTGGGGCGAGTACATATGAAGCCACAAATGGATGATATTTATAAGGAATAAAGAACATGTGAGTTGCTTGTGGGTTTTTGAGCTTAGATGCAAATTCTCATGCAGTTTTATTACTGAAGTAATTGACATGATAACAATAATTGCAGATTTAAAAATCAACGTTGGATGGTTGAAACGAGTGTAAAATTCATTTTAAGAAAGAAGTTACCAAAATTATTAAAATGTTATGTGGGGGCCGAGGTCTGGGATAATCGTGGAATAGGAGTGTGAGAAGAAGAGTAGTGTTGTCAAAGCATTTATTTAGGAAGTTGATTTTGGGGTGCCAAGATTCTCTTCTCTGGCATCGCTTTATGGAAGAAAATGAAAATGAAAACAAATGCAGTACACTGTAGAACAGATGTGCCCGTTTGCTTTTTTTGTCTCTTGGGTTGGACTGATAGCTCTTACTCCCTCAATCTCAATCACCCCAACCAAGCACAATTATTTTTCAAATTTTTGTTTATTACATTGTTTTTACTTGTAGCGTGTAAGATTAGGGTAAAAACATTTGATTTACATACACAAAAGTGGTATGTTTTTGTGGTGTCTGTGAACTGTGAAATTGAAATGAGGTTGACGTGAGTCGTTGCTTCACCGGCCTGTCTGTCATTCTGTCCAGTTTGAGTTGTCCAGTTTGTGTCCCCATTATAGGGTAGCTATACCTGGCAGAAATTTCATGAACCAAAATATTAAAATGCAATAGGTGAAAAGCGCTCTCTGGGAGGATAGGCATGGATAAAAGTTAAGTTTAAAGCATTGCCTACATATAAAAATACATCTCATTAGGTTTGGTTAGGCATACAAACATGTGGCATAGATGTTATTGAACAAGTCATAATCATTATTTTCATTTTCATACTTTTTAAATGAAAATACTAGAACCCTCAGAGGAGTTTTCATCTACTTGTCTATAAAATCTAATAGTAATGTTCTTACCTACTGTTCCATACTTTTATCGCTAACCCCGAAGTCAGACAAATTATAGTTGCATGGATCCACATAATTGAGAACAACTTAGAGAGTGGGGTCTTGGAATGGTTTTTATCTTATCTCTTCTTAAGAATATGTGTTTTTTATTACCTTCTTTCGTTTGAGATATTCCAAGGATTCAAATATGTGGTTAGATATCACAGAAGCTTAGAGGAGAGATTCTGTGCAAACATTGCTAGTTTTTTCTTCGGAGGGCCCAAAACAAACCACTAACCATTTGTTTGGTTGTCTCAGAAGGGATTATATATACTTGAGCGAAATCAAGAATCATCATAAGAAATATTTGGAAGAACATGTTAGCGTTCATTTTAGAATTTATATTACTTGACTTTTGCTTCATAATTTTTACCATTTTTAATCTTACAAAATCTAGTTGATAAAATTAACTAATAGTTTTCAAGCGACAACTATCGCTAGACGCTGTACCGTACTTGTGATCTTAATAGTTTATAACGGTTTTTACTTTTTCAATTAATGTCCAGGACATAGTTCTACCATGTCTTTTTTATTATTATTATTTTTGTGATATCAGATGAATTTTTCAGTTCAATATACAACAGAGGATTATCTAGTTCACCTAATTTTGTAGTCTATCAAACCAATATAGTAGGTAAGGATAATTTGCTCTTATATTCTGTCAAGTTATGTTTCTGCATCTTGGAGAGGAAAATAAAAACTTAATCTTTTGCACAATGAAAATAAATTGAGAGAAGGTTGGGTCTTTCCCATTAGCCAGGATGACGTTGACAAGGACAGAAGCAGAGTAACCTCAGTCAAATCCGGAACATAGCTATCACCGGCCAATTAATTGTCGTGCAGATTCTCTCCAACGTGGTCTCCTTCTTCTACACAAGACAAAATTATGGGCAGTGCAGAGATAGAGATGCATATGGTTCTCAATTAACCCAATAGTACACTCAAATAGTAGAGAAGGTAAAAATAAAGTCTATGATGTTCAGAGTTACCAATAGGGAACACATCTTTCTAAATATTATTTTTATTGATGAATAAAGGCATAGATGAGGCCATAGGACTCCCCCACTTGGATTAAGATGATGTGCATATGGGGTTATCCAAGAAGTAATAATCAAAATCTTGTTTGGCTTTGGTTCATGATGGATATGTTCATGTAAAATTTGGTAAATTTCTTGCACTCTTTGTCTGATTCCTTATTGTTTTGGGTGCCTCTTTTGTCCTGTTTGCTGCATGCCCATCACATCTTTTCACAAAAGCAAAGATGAACAAGATATGTGTTATCTACTTATTAATTATTAATTAATAAAGAAACGATATTTGCATGTATCCCTTTGTGCTTATTTTGAAGGAACCTAGCCAGCTATGTGCCCATTGGGACAGTGTAACGCTGATTTTAAGGTTTTGTTCTCAAGATTATGGACAAGTATATATTACTTAATTAGCTACGCAAAAGAACATAATATATAGGGTAATTATATAAGGGTAGAATCAGTGCGAACGCAGAAAAAAAAATAAAGACAAAAACATTAAGAGTCTAAGTGCAGGGCATTATAAATTAGGAATGAGAATCGGATACAGAATAAATAATAATAAAAAAATTATAATCAACAAAAATCTTACTTATTACAAGACATTTAGATTCGAATATTGATTTAAAAAAATACTAATATAAGTACAAACATAGATAATGTGATACTTGATTTTGTTCATATATGCCTAGCGTGCTAATTTTATTTGTAATATTTTATAAGAAAAGTTATACTATTTTAATATTTTAATTAATCAAGTTATATTACTCTCTTAACCAGAACTTTTTAAAATTATTGTTAATTGCTAGTGTTTGTTTCATATAAACCAGTTTTCTAAAGTGAAATACTCTTTCGTTATTGAGTTTGTTTTTTTTATTATTGTAATTATTTAACTATCTAATTGGATTTTTAATTAAGTAATCAAAAGAACTATTATTTTAAATTTTGCTTTAAAATAATTTTTTAATATTTATAAGATAACAAAAATAATATTCATAATATTACAAACACATGAAATTTTGATATGTTTAAATTTTTATCTGTGTATGTTTTTATTTCCTGTCAGTTACTATATTAATCAAATTTTATAGACATTATGTAATTTTAAGCACGCTATATTAGATTAATAGACTTATAAATGATAGATCTTTGTAAAAATATTTAGTTTCATATATATTTTTGCCTTAATTTTAATTTTTAAATTTATTACTTAATATTATTGTTAAGTCTAGATAACTATTTTAGTGTCTATTTTTATTTAACTGATTGGATTGGATTTTTTTAAAGAGTTTAATGTAATCTCTTAATTTTCAAATTTATTTCTCTTTTTCATCTAATAAATTCATCGAATAAAAAATATTATATTAATTATTTACTTACTAGTTATATATTTTTTGTGATACTAATTACTGTTGAAATGGTAATACTTTTGTTTTAAAATTTTATGGCAATTTTAAAAGATTGTCAATTTTCACTACTAGTCAATAAATGAAAACTTGAACCTCACCTGGGCCCATAGAATAACAGACCTCATGTTGGACTTTGCCTGACTTAGTTCTACTCATTGGCCCAATATAGCACAGTACAACATCCATTATAGACAACTTCTATCAGACAAAAAGAAAACAATATTTGCAGAAAATGGTTGTGAAAAAACAAAATCTGTAATAATATAAATCATAATTTAAACAAAATGATAGCATCATTCATCAGATATGTTGAAAATTTACAGTAAAAGAAAAAATCAAATCAAAATGAAGCTAAAAAAGTGAAAACATCGATGTGTTTAGTTATTTAATCAGTCTTTATAATCGATTTTAAGTAACTCAATATGAAATGTTTAAATTAACACGGTGTGAGTTCATATAATATATATTTGTGGATGAAAAAATGTTTCATTTTTAATTATTTTAAATTAATTATAAGTTTGGTATTGATAAAACATTTTTGAAGGGTAATGGAGAACATTCAAAGGAAACATTAAAAGAGAGAAAAATATGTAAAATCAAAAGTGACCTACGTTATCTAAATATATAATTTTTTTAATTCACTACATATTGTAAGTTAAGTGAGTGAATTTGCAATCCGATTTTGCAGGGGAGTGCATGAACAGGAAGTGGAGGCAAAAAGACAAGAAAAAAGAAGGAGATTTTCAAAAAGTTGTTACTTACGCATGATTGAGCATTGTGTCACTCACTGGTAAAGGATCCAACACTACACCATAGTGTTTACATGTATTTTTATTTATTTTTTTAATTAGAATATTTGAGTGTAATTTAATCTGAGTATGTTGAGAATAAGAAGTGATGGTGACAGATAGTTCTCTGATGGCTAAAGTTGGTGGGCCTGGGTTAAAGATGAGTTCAAGGGGGCCCAACTAGCAGCCCTTCCTGACAATTTCACATGCAAACATAAATCTTGTTTCATTTCATTATTTTAATTTGGGTGAGTTTTAGATAAAAATAAAAGTTATAATAGTAAGGCTGTTTTGTTTAATTTTTTAAAATAAAACTGTTCCCATAATAATAAGTAAAATTCCGGTTTTTTAAATAAATTATGTACTTTATTCGTTTTAAAAATAAATTATTTTCAACTTACTTTAACAAATAAATCTTCAACTTGTTTGAGCTGGTTTTTAAAATATATTATTTAATAAAATATAAAAATTTGTGTTTTTTTATGTTATTTATTCTACTTATTTTAAAAATAAGATGTTTTTCAAAAAATTTAAAATAAGTGAATTTTAAAAAATTATTTCAAATACTTATTTTGAAGTTTAGACAAATTCACTCTTTATTTATTTATTTATTTATTAATTTTAAATTCAAACAAGCTCACCAACAAAATATGTATGATGCGGGCCTCTCGTTTCATCTTTCTCTTTAACTCTTTTATAATAAAATAAAACTAACTCCCAATTATACTTTAAAGAAATCCTTTTACTATAATTTATTGATATATTTTAACAAAAAAAAAATTAAGGGATGTATGTTAGCAAATTTAAAACGAAATTGCATGTATACGTTAATAAATTCTATGACATATTTGAATATGGTGAATATACGTTAATAATAATATTAATTATACTACTACTAATAATAATATTTATTATTATTATTATTATTATTATTATTATTATTATTGTAGTAATAATAATAATAATAATCATTACAATATTCTATAATTTTTTATTGAAATTTCCAAAAAGAAGTTAGGCTGAGAATTTCTTTCATATATCATATTAAAGAAAATTATATCAAACCCAAAATATTTAATATTTTATTTATATACATTAAAATAAAACATAAAATATAATTATTAAATTATTTAACAATGTGAATCTTTTTATTATTTATTAATGTTTGTTTTTATTAAATTTGGTATTCACAATAGAAAATGTAAATTTAGAATTTAACAGTTATTAAAATTACATTTTGTATAACACTATTAACGAAGAAGACATGATAAAATGTTATTATTTTTTAAGGAACATTCGGGATAAATTTAAAGTGGTTAATATATTGCAAATATAACTCTACTATTTTTTTATATGGTTTTACTGTATACTTAAAAAAAAATTACATGCACATTTGGAAGCCTTTTAAAAAGAAGAAATTGTATGTCCTATTTTATCCTCCACAATATTTTTTTTATTAATTTATTGTTTGATCATTAATTTTCAAAATTTAAATTTTTTTCATATAAGTCATATTTAAGAAGCTTCGTGGACTAATACTTAAGCATGGGAAAATATAGGGTGTCAAAACGAGTTAACCCCTTTCATATGGGTTGACTCACCATGTGTTGAACGGAAAATAGATGAGTTTAACTCGACTCGTTTTATGATAAGTTAGAAATTTCATAATCTAACTTAATCAACTACGAATTGGTAGGTTGACTTACTAATCCACAATTTTTTTTGTTATTCAATTTTTCTTTTAATAAATATGACTGAATCGTGAAACTAAAATGTAATGACGTGGCACGACAAATACTGTAACATGATTAAAATGCAACAAACATTATGGTGCAACTGAAACACAGTGACGTAGTGTTATGATGAATGCAATGGTGCAACAAACATAATAACACAGTAAACTCTATGGTACGACTGAAACAATATGGTGCGATAACACAATAAATGTTATAATGTGACTAAAACATGGGATAGAACAAATGTTATGATACAACTGAAACATAGTGACATAACAAACACAACGAACCTAATGACATAGTAGTGTAGCAGAAAGATGACAAGCAGCTTATATGCAACGACGAATACAGTGATGCACGAAAGGATGACAAATGATTTAGATATAACGACAAACATAGTAGTGCAGTGAAAGAACGATAAGTTGCTTAGATACAATGACATATAGAGTGATGTAACCAATAATTAATGATAAATATAAGTGAGGGTTTGGATTGTAGTAGCAAAATAGAGTAACGGTGAAGAAGCACAATAATATCAATTAGAGTTATTAAATTGTTATAATTATTTTTAAAATTTTAAAAAATAATGAGTTACAGGTCAACCCATTATAACTCAACTCAAACTTACTTAACCATAAATTAAATGTATCGAATTATTTTTAACTTATTATCATTAAAATTAAAAATAATCAAATTCAACCTAATCAAACTTATTATTGGAGTCGGATGGGCTCCAATGACACCTAGGAAAATAAATAGAAAATTATCATACTAAAATTTTAGGAGAGGGTGTGTGGCATAGATTAAAGGAATATGGGTGAATAATTAAGGTGATCAATAAATAATAGTTGAAATTTTTGTTTTGTTTGAGTTGAGTACAATAAGGCTAAAAGGTAACCTCTAACATGTATCTTAAAACAAAATGTCTTTTAATGATTGTGTTCTTTTAGTTATAATTTGATGAATTATATGAAAGTAATTCGGAGTCACGCTATTTGTTTAAAGTTAAGTAAGCTTAGTTATTTATGCATGACATTTTAGTTTAAAAAAAATCCGCATTCTCACATTTGGTTATATGATAATTTTAAATATCATCTTATAATTTATTTATGGAATCAACTCGTACACTAATAGTATTGAAAGGTTTGAATGTTTTAATATAATTTATTTTTAGAGTCAACTTGTATATGCAGTAGTATGCACATGTTTAAGTTTATTTAGAACTTAAAAAGGATAATCTTGAATATTGATATTTTATTATCTTAAAAACTTAATGTAATTTTAAAGATGAAATTGTTACTTCAAATTATTAATAAGTTTGGAATAAAAATAATTGACCTTGTTTTAATTAAGTATAACTGCATAGTAATCAGTAGCAAGCTAACGCTTAGAATTACAATTAAAGTTGTGTTGGTGACTAGTAAAAATTTACACAGGAGGTGGCAGTGTGGTGGTGAGTTGAATTGTCTGGGAAAGTAGCAGTAATAACTCTGGATAATAAAAGTTAGAAAAGTGGGGAAAGAGAACTTGACTAAAACGGTAAAAACTAAGAAAATGAAGAAAAGAAAGAAGGGATTCCAAAGTTCGAAGGCAATGTGCATATCTGTGCTAGTGCCCAGTGTCTCTTTATTCGATGATGAGAGATGAGTGGATCACTTTTTCTCTCTCCTGTATAAATTGCATGTTATACCGCCCTATTCCACCATTTACAGGGATGACATCCAAACCCTTTCACCAGAGCCTCCTCTTTGGACTAATCAACATCAACGCTGAACGAGGTACCTAAGGGTCTCCTCTTTTCCCTCAGATTAAAAACTGGGCCCAACCAATGGCCTCTCTCCAACCTCAACCCCAAGAAACCAAACCCACCGTCACCACCGTCACATCCTCCACTCCCAGCCAAACATCTAACACTTCCAACAGCACCAACATCAACAACAAAAGCAATCGTAAATGCAAAGGTAAAGGTGGCCCTGACAACAACAAATTTAGGTACCGCGGCGTCAGACAACGAAGCTGGGGCAAATGGGTTGCCGAGATCCGTGAACCACGTAAGCGCACACGCAAGTGGCTTGGCACCTTCTCCACCGCAGAAGATGCTGCCAGAGCTTATGACCGCGCGGCTCTCATCCTCTACGGTTCCCGGGCTCAGCTTAATCTCCAACCCCCTGGTTCCTCTTCGCAGTCTTCCTCTTCTCGCACCACCTCATCTTCCTCCACTCAAACCCTAAGACCCTTGCTTCCTCGCCCCTCAAGCTTCGCTTTCAATTTTCCCTTCCACGCTGCCCTGCCCTATCCTTGCGGAGGCGCGTTTGCTAGCACTTTCAATTTCACCCCTCCCGTGTTGTGCCCTAAGGAGAATAGTAATAATATAGTGCATGTTCATCACTATCATCATCGTCCCCAGGAAGTGGTGCAAGAGCCTCACGCTCAATCAACATCATATCAAAATTCGGAATCTGATTTGAGTTTAGGTGGGAATAATACTACTGCTGATAGTTCAATTAGATCAACCTCGTACCAAAGGCGTGGTTGCAAGGATGATAACCGTTTGCATGTGCAAGATGGTGATTTATCGAATCGAGATAAACATGAGAACAGTGCTGTAGATGGAGTTAATTATGTTGGGGGTTCCGCTGAGTCTTCTCAGGTAAATATGGAGGCTTCTGTGGATCCGGATCTGTCTCTGGTGGGGACAGTGGGGCTTGGATCTTCGTCTTCTTTGTGGTCCTTGGTGAATGAGAATGATTACACTGGTAGTTTGTGGGATTATAATGATCCTTTCTTCTTTGATCTTTAGAGAAATTTCAGTAGCAATTGTTTGATCAGATGTGTTGGTTGGAGTTCTTTATTCCAAAATTATTAGATGGTTTGGACTTAGTAATACATCATAGTACATGGTGAAGGAGATCACATAGATTGAAACTATTGTCAAATAAAGTGTTGGATACACTAAGCTGAAAGTTTATTGCTTGTTAGTATTAGTATTAATAACTAACTGTGGAGGCTGAGGATGGTAGAAATAAGATAAGTTTTCTATTTGAGATCAAGTGCAGTTGGAAAATAATTGCAGAGAACGGGAATGCATTTTGTTGCTGGTGCTTGGGAATGAATCCACTGGTTACCTTACTATTTGTCTCCTCCAATGTTGAGGTAAGCCTTTCCTATTATTTGGATTTCAATGTATGATAATACATCTACTTATTGTTGACTTGGATCAAACATTTCTTACTTTTTCATGCAATTTTAACTGTTCTAAACCAGTTTGAGAAATTGAATGGTTGAAAAAAAAAAGTTGTACTGTTTTTTTCTTGTTGTAAATACATATTGTTCTTAGTTTGTCGATGTTTTCTCTTTATTTGTCTAATTATTGTTGCAAACATTCTCCAAATCTACACAGTTATGTTCTTGTCGGGATGAACTATAATATTTGGTTTGTGAACGATTCTGTAAGCAATTTGAAACTAGTTTAGTGAAAGCTCTTTAGTGACTACAAACTCTTAAATTTATTTTTAGTATTTATAACTTACTTTCTTAACATAGTTATTTTAGTTTGTTTTAAGATGTTTTATAAATAAGTTGTTTAACAAGTTTCATCAAATAAAAATGTATTAAAGTAATGACGACGTTAACTATTTATTCAAATACTGTACATTTAAATAAATTATATATATATATATATATATATATATATATATATATATATATATAATGCACAAATAGGACACCCAATTTCCCTTTATATTGTTTTTATAAAATATTTCATTATAAAAAAAATAATGAAAGATAAATAGTAAATGTGAGGGTAAAGTTGTTTTCAAATTGGATTTCATATACAGCTAGTTGGTGAAATTACTTCTTTGTATAATTAAAACATGACACTGTTATAATCTCAAATTAAAAGAAAAATAATCTTAAAAATGTGGACTCAAAGAATGAGTATTGTATTTATAATATAAAATGTGTAGTTGTAAATGGCATATATTGTTTTTACAGGTGTAAATATTTTTTTTTAAATGACATATTTTTTTTATAGGTACCGAGTATGTTAATTATATAGATATAGTTTGTCTGTCAAACTTAAGTTTGTGTTTATTTTTATTTCTTTATTATGTTAAGTGATAAACATGTAAGTTATGAAATTATATAACTTTCATTTTTCAGAAAACTGGTAACATTGTAGACTGCTTTTATATAGGTAAACTTAAGTCCCTATTTTGATTTATAACCTCCACTGTTCATTATTGAATGGGAAGTATCTTTCTATATTATTTTCATAGGAATTAAGTATTTTATAGACTGCATATACCAAACTTAACTCTGCATTTCATTTTTTATTTCTTCATCATTCAGATGATACATTTACTATTATTCCTAAACATGTCACTTATGATGTAACATTCATTTTTTCTTGTGTCAGTTCTAACCTTGGTTGCAAGAATTTTTTTATCCTTTGTTTACTTTTCGTCCATGTTCGTAATTTTTTTATATATTTTATTTGTCCATACTTTCAACTAAATTTAAGTTTGCCTTATTTTATTAAAATTTTAAATGAGAGGTCTAAGAATATGATAAAAATTGTTTTTATTATTCAATTTATAACTTTCTTTAACTAAAATGTTTATTGTTCTCTAAACCAAATTTAGTAAAAATAAATAAAATTTTACTGTGAAAACCTAACTTTATTTTTCGATGTGGAACTTCTTTTATAGAAGATTATGTTTAAAGTACAGTTAGAAGATTATGTTTTGTTGTATGCAGGATTCAAACTGAGTTGTCATGTTGTAACATGTAAATTCATTTACAAAAATATTAATTACTTCTTAGTTTATGAAGCATTAATAAATGTAAACTCATGTACAACCAATTAATTTAATTTCTATAATGATAAGACTTTAAACTGATTTTTTTAAATAAATAAAAATAATAATATAATCGGGAAGATTGTAAGTTGCAAATATATTAGTTTTTTAAAATGGTATCAGTAAAACTGATTGGTCATTTATTACAAATGCTTAGTTGTACTTATTTTTAGTTATATAAATATCATAGTTAATACTTTCATCCTTTTCTGAAATTTTAATTTTATTTATTTTAGGATATTTTTTAAAACTATGAAACTTAAGCCAAAAATAAGTTTTTAATTAAGAATTGGTTTAACTAATTATAACAATTTGTCATTTTGATAATTTTACAGATTGTATTATCCTTTATTTATACAGTCAACTTGTATAATAGTATGTAAAGGTTTAAATTTATTTATATAATTTATTTTAGAGTTAGTATGTCAAGGTTTTAAGTTATTTTTAGAGTACAGTCAACTCCGTATTATTTTGTGACTTTTGACTAATGGGCTTATTAAACAAAAGATAAAATATTTTTTCTTGATTATTAGTCTTAAAACATCAACTACTAAAAGAACAGTAATAACAAAAATTAAGACTAACTTCTTGTAATAACAATAATTACAAGTATCTAAATACACACATTTTTTCCTAATATATTTCACCAAAATATATATATATATATATATATATATATATATATATATATATATATATATATATATATATATATATAATATAATAAATATATAAATTATGATTTCATTAAAAAAAAAAAAAAGAAATTTGAGCCACCATGACCCTAGACTCTAGAGGCTCTCCTTGACTCCACCCCCTTATTTCACTGTTAATTAACATTTACTCCTTAAAATTTTAAAACAATCTATTCTTACACTATTTATAAGATAAAAATGTTAAAATAAATAGAACAAGTAAAATTTTGTTATCTACAATAAATTTTACTCAATTATATATTACTAGTGTTAATTTTTTTTATTTAAATGTCAATAGTATACTCTTGATAGAAAAAGTAGGGATTTTAAATTTATTATAGGATTTTAAATTTATTATAAGATTAATGTTGATCCACCAATGTAATCTGATAAACGCTTTCAATATTTTGTCAAAAATTTGATCAGTTATATTATTAAATTTTATTACTGTAATTTGAAGCGAAATTGTTAACACCCAAACCACTAATCAAATGTATTATTCATGATTTATAAGAAATCAACTCAATTTGTGCAATTATCGTTCAATAAATTATCCCATCTTAAAGTTTCCGAGTAGAGCGGTAGAAACTTTGATCTTTTTTACACCATAGAAATTTGGTTTTAAATTTTAAGTTTGAATTTAAAGAGTTGGTTTTATTTTATTTTATTTTTTGTCTTTATATTTATAGGATTTGTCTTTATTTCAGAAAAATATTTCTACTTAAGCTTGTCATTATGATTAATAGTTGGATTATACATTTCCATAATTGATTCTTATATAATTAACATAAAATAATATATATAGATATATCAATTTTTTAAATAATATATTTAAAATAAAAAAAATAACCTAAATAAAATTTCTGTACTTTATTTATCTGATCGGTTTATTATTTATACATAAAAATTAATAATTAAAAATAAATCTCTCTAATATAATATTGATATTTTGTTCTTTTTGTTTTTTGTGTTTTACTTTTCTTTTTCTTAATTTAGTTATTGTTATTTTTTTCTTTATCCTCGTAATTTTTTTTTCACTCACCTTATTTTTCTAATTAAAATATTAAATTAAATTTTATAAAATGAATTTTTTATTATTTTTATAAAACTAAAATATTTAAATTATTTAAAAATATTATAAATTAATATATTATATTAAAAAATATTATATCATAAATATGAAATATTACAAATTATTATGTTATAATTATTAAAAATATATATATATATTTTAAAATAAATTTTTAATAAAAAAAATTAAAATGATATAATATGATTAATTTTTACAACTCAATTTAATTATAATTAGATTAAATTATTAAATAAAAATACATTTAACTCATAAATATTTAATATTTTTTAATTAAATTATTAATTAATTAGTACAATCAAATAATTTAAAATTAATTATTAATATTATGTTAAATAAAATTATTTACTATTATAATAAATAAAATTATTTATTATCATCATAATTTAAAATAATTAATTGATATTTGTTAAGTTTTAATATTGATTTAAAAAATTATATATTTATTTTACTTATAAACATAATATGTATTTTTTTAAATAATTTAACATAAGAATTTGCAATACATCTAATTTATAATATAATATTTAAAAAAATATAATATATTAAATAATAATATTTTCAGATAATTTAAATATTTGTATTTTTTAAATAATAAAAAACTTATTTAATCAAAATTTTAATTTAATATTTTTAATAAAAAGAATAAGATAAGTGACATAAAAATAAAAGAGGAAGAAAAAAAAGACAAATACAGAGAGATAAAAATAATAAATAAATGAATAGAGAAAATAAATAAGAAAAATGTGCAAAATACTTATATTATATTATAATAACTTATTTTTGTTATTAAATTTTTATATAAACAGTGAATCGGTCTAATTGAGTAAGTAATTTTTGGTTTTAAATATATTATTTTAAAAATTATTTATATATATATATATATATATATATATATATATATATATATATATATATGAATGAATGTTAAATGTCAAACCAAATAAATTATTATTATATATAGTAAATTTGTGTTTTTACTATTTATTTAACAAGTATTTATAAAAATTTTATAATTTAAGATTACGTCTACACTACTACTACTACTAATAATAATAATAATAATAATAATTATTATTATTATTATTATTATTATTATTATTATTATTATTATTATATAATAGTAGATTTTATTAATAACCAATGAAAGTTAACTATCCATATTTCAAAAATTACGGACAAAATTTGAGACCTTGGATAATACTTGAGGCTTACAATTATACTCATCCTAAAAAAATTACAACTATACTGTAATTATTTAAAATAATAATAATAATATCTAAAAAAAATTACAGCTCCGAAGCATTTCTTGAGAAGAAAGTAATCAAATCTTACCAACCATTCACATAATAATAGTAGTCATAATAACAACTATGACTTTCTTTCTTTTTTTTTTAAACTAAACTTTGTGCCGTAAATTCCACGCCATGGAAAATATATTATTCAGTCAAATATATGTTCCCAATTTAATTAAGAAATTATAATTTAGTGAAATTAATTCGATAATGAACCTTTTAATGAGTCTTTGGGTCAGTCTTTCCCATTAAATATAATTTATGTTATTCAGTCAAATATTACATCTCTTTCATTGTTAATTTCCCCGGTTTCATGGAATTCCTTTAAAAAAAATACATATATCAATTTTCGAATCTTGTTATATATCTTCAAAAACTTATATAAAAGTTTGAGAAAACAACATCATAATATAATTACTAATATTACAAAAATGTTTGTGATGTTAAAATATTTTATCCATAAATGTATTTATTTTCTCATATAAAATATATTATATAAATAATTTTTATATATATGTTATGTGTATGTGAAAATTAGATTATATAATTTTTTCCCGAAATAAATCTATAGCTCTGTGTCTAATTTACACAATTTTTTTTTAATTGTATACAAATATTTTGCTATATTTAGTGATCGTAATTCACAAATTTATCTTTACTCTACTTATCTATTTATTTAATTGTATAAAAGTTGTCCAAACCAATTCTTTAAGTCATTCATTTTATTTTTATTCTCACTGTTATTTTTTATTAAAAAAATCTAAATAATTATGAAATTTCCATAATTTATTATAACAATTCTCTTATTTATAAGGAAACGAGACATTGAATACTTATAATATTTGCAATACTCATTGCGTTTATTTTTCATTGAATATTAACAGTATGTAAAATAGATTTCAAATTAATGTAAAATTTTTGCTGTGCTTATGGATTTTCTGTAATGGAAATAAATAAAAAAATGGAACCTTCACCTTATATATTCCATAATAACTTTAGGTTAGAAATGAAAAATCATAAATTTGGTTTTCTTTAATAATCTTTACTATAACTAAATTATAAAAGAATATATCTGTGAATACCGGCCAAGGTATTGTGTAAATAAATATAGCATTAAATAAAATAATATAAATCTAGTACGTATATTTTTTAAGAAGTGTAAACCTAGTATCTAATATTATATTCATTGTGAGACAAAACAGATGAATGATGGACGTAACATCAAACGATTGGTGTGTTCGAAAAAAACGTTTCATCTCCGACATTGTTCTGGATAAGCTACCACGGTGTCAATGACCTAGTCCTAATGGACCGAAATAATGTACGGTACATTGTACATGCATAAACTATGATAATTCATTCAACTTTTGACGACAATTCATACAAATAAATTCTACCTCCATTTTTTTTAATAGATTGGTAATTTTTACCGTCCAAACAACGCGTAACGTGAATGGCTGTAAAAAATGAACTTGTGAATCTTATCTACAAGTGTGAATTGGAACACCAATTTCTCTATGATTTGGATAAAGTCAAAGATCTTATTTTAGCACATGTAACTGGTTATTAAGAGTTAAAGTTATTAAGTTAAGTTATTAATTGGTTGAGATTAATTATTCCCAAATTTTACAGAGTGAAAGTTTGAAGATAAGGGCCGGCTCTAAATTGAACAGAAAAATATTTGTGAAATAGAGCGAAATTAATAAAAAAAGGTTTAAAATAATAACAATTTGTATTTATTTTATTGGAGGAAGAGAAAAAAAAATGACTTCTTTTTAAAAAATAATGGAGCTAGTAATAATCTAACAGCGATGCATGTGCGGCATCACGTAGTTTTTGAATGTTAAGTTTATTCTTAAATTTTCGAGGAAGAAACCTCGTCCTATTTGTTTCGTATAAATAATGTATTTGTTTATAATTAACAAACACTCTTCTCATACGCGCATGACAAGTATATGATCGCGTTTAGTTTAACTTAACCGCAAGGTTTGTCAAATGAGAGGTGTATATTTTTCAAGAATAAAGTATAATAGTAAAACCTATTAATTAAAAATCAACCATTCAAATTATAATTAAGTTTATTTTGTATAGGGTGATGATCTTTTGACAATCGAAAGAAAAAACAACCCATTTTATTAATATAATAATTATGAAAGAGTTTAAATAAAAATAAAAAATAGTTAAAATTATTATTATAATATAAAATGCAGTTGTTTACATATTTTGTGAATAGTGGTGTCAAAATATCTTTTTCCTTTCATATATACATACAAAAGGGATTGGGTTATTTCAAGAATACTTTTTTTTTAATTTACTTTTCATATCTATAAATTATTCTTCTACTTATCTAATAAATATACTAAGATTAATGAACGACAAGAATCACAACTAAATTTTGTCATCTAACAAGACAGAATTGGCATACTTAAATATATATATATATATATATATCTATATATATATATATATATATATATATATATATATAAATTAGGACATTGCCACAACAAATTAATGAATATAAGTAATAACGTGATATTTTGTATCGTAATAAATAAATTTAATTTAGAAATGTTAAATTTTGAGTATGGAAATATTTGTATGAAAAATATAAATAAAAATAAAACATTTTTCCAAAACATTGTTTCCTAGAAGTGCTATTTTTTAATAATCAATAAAAGAAGAAAACCAAACATTTCCAACGTCAGAATCATTTAAAGGTATAATTGAGGTAAAAATTATATGTATAAAAATATAATAGCATTTCTTAAATTATTTATAATATTTTCAAACATCTTAGTATATTTATATTTTATATTAATTAATTATTTTAATCAAACTTGACTAACTATAAAAATGAAACCTGATAAAAATTTTAAAACTATTTTTAAATTTTATTTCAAATAAAAAATTAAACTACTAATGTAAGTAAATAATAAATGTTCGTAACAATTATCTTTGAAACACAAAATAAAAAAATGTATACACAGTACAAATATTTCTGATAAAGAAAATATTACATATTTTTTATGTTTTTAATATATGATAAATGATCTCTACTTAAAGTTATACACATTTAGTTAATAACTAATTTCCAGTTTGAGTATAACGTTCTCTGCCTACAAAAAAAATACCAGTTTGTTTTATTTCATAAAATTGTGGCTTCAAATCACCTTTTACATTTTTTTAGTAATATAATCACTTATTTACATTTACTATAAAAGAACTGTAAGGTTTGAGGACCACATTTAAACTCTTTGTCTTCTTTTTAACAAATGATTTAAAAAAATAAAAATAAAAATTCGGTGTGATCACCGAGGAATTTTTCATTTAAACTGAGTCAATTGAATTAAATTGTTTTCTTCATTTTTTTCTTATTAAATATTTTAACTTATTTGCTGTTTTTTTTGCACAGTATGAATAAATTAAAAGAAGGAGGAAACATAAAGAAATAGACAACATGTCATGTAAGAGAGCAATTTAACTTGTTTATATAATATGCACTTAATTTTTCTTGTAATCATCAACATACACTTTCAAATTTTATTAAATAAAACACCAAGCGATTTAATTTATTTAATAAATAAGAAAAGCTAAAATTAAATTATACGTTACCCTAAAAAGTAAAAATAATGAACTTTAGTTTGAATATAAAAAATGAAATGATTCTTTTTTAGCAGAAAGACTTTAGGGAACGCACTAGTGATAAGAATGTGTAGACACGAGTTTAAGGTGTAATTCGTTTCATTTTTGAGATAAACACTAACACTTATAAAAATAAAAAAATGCAACCTGTGTCATGTGCCCCACTGAGAGAGTATACCTAATCACCAACCAAACGTAACTATAAATAATGTTAGATCGTCTATTAATAGCGTTAGTCTGAGCAGCATACAAAAAGCCGTGCCTATTGCAGTGCCACGCAGTGTTCACACCACTCTTTCAAACGCCGTCGTTTTGCTCCACCACGCTGATTCCTTCTCGAACCTTCCACCATGTCGATTCACGATTCCGAAGCCTTCAATTGGCACTACGACACGGAGCTCGACGACCAGACCCTCGAAATCCGCGGTCGAAAGCTCTTCTTCATCATCGTTGTCTTCTCCGTCATCCTCCTCTTCACCGCGCTCTTCGTCTTCGCACGCCGGATCTGTAGCCACCATGGCCTCCCCTTCGACTCCCACCCGCCGCATAACCCGACGCCGACGCTTCCACCGCAGGACGGCCTCGATGCCGCTGCAATCAAACGCCTGCCGATCATCCTGCATCAGCGCGCGGCAGCGGAGGAGACCGAGTGCTGCATCTGCCTCGGCATGTTCGTCGACGGCGCGAAGCTGAAGGTTCTCCCTGGATGCGAGCACAGTTTCCACAGCGAGTGCGTGGATAAGTGGCTAGCTGATCACTCCAATTGTCCTCTCTGTAGAGCTTCGCTGAAACTCGATCCTGCGTTTCCGAGGATTTTGATCCAAGCGCCACCTGTTAGAACCACTCTTCCTCTCTAATACTTTTTTCAGTTTAGATTTATAACTTCAATAGTAACTTAGAAACAGTTGTAGTAGTTCTCACTTGTTTTGGATAATTTGCCATGTAAATCCTAGTAAGAACTACAAATGAAGCGTTAAGAGATTATCAGATTTTGAAAACACTTTCTTTTTTCTAATGCCATGCTTTCAAATTTGATAATTAACAAATACAATTAATTGTTTTATATGGACAAAAACCTATCCACATATATTGTAAATATTTCTCTTAATGCATGACCATTAAAATCAATTTAAATATACTTATTATATTTGTCCCTTCACTATAAGTAGCCTTAGTTATCTCCTGGCATGGTTTGATAAGCTGGATAGAAGATTATGATTTGGATAAGAAATATGTGATTAAGGTTCGATTTAAAAAATAAAAAATAAAATAATAATAATAATAACATGAATGAAATAATAATTTTCAAAAGGATTTCAATAAATTAGTCTGCAAATTTAGATAAGAAAATACCTAGATTGGGAATAAATAATTTCAAATATTTTTATCATTTTAGTGTAATGCGAATCAAAATAATTGAGTGTGGCCTAGCATTTGAATATTACAACCAGAAAAAGTATGACTGTTTTTCTTTTAAATGTTCTATTTTATTGTCTTTTAGTTGAAATGCTGTGTTAATTATTAATCGCATTTGCCGAAGTTGAAATATTTATTCAGAATTAATTAAATATTTATATTTTGTTGGAAGATGCCAATTGCCAAAGCCAAATAAAAGGGATACCCAAGAAATTCCTTCACATGTGACAAAGGTCCAAGACAAGGGTTTTTTCAAATTTTAAATTGTTGATTGAGTTTTGTTCCCACGTTGGGTGATGGAAAAGTACTAGACCAAAAAGGTCATAATATTATTTGCTTGCACCCTCATCTATACTAGATGTAAAATATAATGCTCGTATACGCAAGAGTGAAGGTTCTATTTGTGTTGTGCAAATAGATAATAGGTTGCTTTTCAACAAAATGGGACCCGGACACAGCAAAAAGCACGACTACTACGACCCCTCCTCTCCTCTTTCTTATTTTCAGTTGGTTCTGGTTCAATTCAATGTACTCCGTACCATTTACGATGCGTGTTTCATGCTGTGTGTAAAAACGTTGCCAGTTTCCAAAAGGAATTTTAAGTCTTTTATACAGATTAACTGATCAAGCAACTTAAAGTCTTCGCATGTACTTTATTTAGAGAATCATCAAACACAGGTAAATCTATAATAAGGTTAAATTGAACAGAAATTCCGTAAACAAATACTAATATAAGCAAAAATATTTTAAAATTAGATAAAAAAAATATTTTATCTAAACTTCTAATGGGTAAAAATATTTTAAATGATTTATTATTATTTCTTTTTTACACGATTATGACATTTTATTTTTTTCAATGAATACGTTGAAATAAAAAGTATTACGTTCCTTTGAGTTAAAATGATTTAGAAACAACTTGGATCAATTTGGCAACACTTGTGAAATTATGTAGATCTAGTTTCACTATAAGCAATGGTCTCGAATGATAATTTTAAGAAACAAAACAAAAATAATAGTTTTACAGTATTCACTACCTTCAATTGTTAATAGGATCTATCATATATAAAGACAAAACTTTAAGCTAAGGCAAACAATTTAACATATAATTGAGCATATTTTAAATTTTCACATTATAAACAAAACATTGTGTAATAATATATACAAATATTTTGTCGTCAGTGTAAGGATTTTTCAATTGTATTGAAAATAAGTACTCCACATATAAGAACAGCTAATCAGTAGAAAAGTATTAAAAATCCTAGAAAAATAAAATTGGGACAACAATTACATAGTTAATATTTTCAAACATATAGAGATTAAAACATAAACCTTGTTTTTTAAACTCCTGGTCGTTATTTTTTTCATAGCGTGCAAATCATCAATTATTAAGTATAAATTTTTTATTCACCAATCTGTATCCCAATAACTATGAAGAAGAAAAGCATTTCCTATTTGTCTTATCGCTTTTATTATTAAAGAGTCAAAACAATTCCGAGCAATTTGCTAACTAAGGAATAAAAATTTGATGAACTCGTTTCGTACACAATTCACCAATAATGTAGCATTTTTTAAAATTTACATCTTTTGGCTCATGAAACATATTTTAATACAGATCGTGAATACAATTAATGTTATTATCATATTTAATCTTTTAAATGTTGTTTATAATGAAAAATTATCTGCTATGTATCATTTGTCATTTGTGTTTTTTTTTTATTTAAACTAAAAATAATACTTTTTAATTTAAAAAATATTTTAGTTATATTAAAAAATAAATATATTGACAAGCTCAACATGAAATTCACTTTTATAATATACCTTTTACATATTAATCTCACAAAAATGTTTACAAATTAAATTTTATTGTTAAATTTTGATTTTAAGTATTAATTCAAATATTACTTAATTACTTAATAAAAAATAATTAAAAACAAAAATGACATTGAATAGAAAAATGTAAACAACAAAAAGTGTAAATTGCAATAAATATAAATTGTGAGAAAGAGTAAATAGTTGAAAATGTAAATTACAAAAAATATAAATTACAGATGATATAAGAAAAACTGGTATAGAAAATTTATGATCTAATAACTTCATTAAAAATAATTTTTCATATATTTACAGTGATTTTAGAATGTAAGTATTTCAATATAATTTGTCATCACTCATATTTTTACTATTTATATTTATTATTCTTTATATATGCTAAATAAGAGCAACTAATCTAAAAAAACAAATTCTTTTTCTATCCATCATTTTTCTCTTTTTTTAGTGCTTTATTATTAAACGAGATTGTAATATTTATGTAACTTGTTCTATATGTTTTTTTTTATCTTTATAACTTTTTCGATCTTCTTTCTATTTTTTTCGCTTATTTATTTGACTTTACTTTAATCTTAGTTTACTCGGTTATCCTTATACTTTTCTACCAATATTATTAATTTCTCACAATTTTTTACTTTACACTATCTTTGACTACTCGTTTCTTTTCTTTTATTTTTTTGTGTGAACCTTTGATTTTCATGATTTCAATATCTTACCTCTAATATTCTAAATTTTTAATTTCCTTTATTTATTAGCAGTTCAATTTTCAATTCATATTCTTTATTTTAATAAAAAATGTAAACAATAAATATACATAATTGAAATATATTAGTAAATAAATAATAAAATACTGATTAAATGTATAATGTAATATAAATAATTATTTATAAAAGCATAGAAATTATATAGTACAAAATTAAAATATTAATATAACTTTTTATTTATTTATTGGCGACCATAACGAATCAGCATGTTAAACTATCTAGTTTGTCTCACCAGATATAAGTCCAATGGCCGAATGAAAAACAAAACTTTAATAAGTGAGTGAAGGTTGAATAGGATGACAATCCAAACTTAAAAATAAAAAATAAAAAATTGGTATGAAACTGATAGTGGAGATTAGACATAGAATGAAAACTCCACTCTACTCAGTTCAGAGAAGTATGTTAGAAAATAAACTTGCTTTTTTTATAGTCCAATTTGATAGATATATTGAGTTTGTTGAGTACCAAAATTCAATTTATTAGATGTAATTTTTTCCTTTTTAGTGATCTTTTACATATTAAAAGATTGTTCTCATATTGTTAGTAGAAAATCGAGAAAAGCGATCGAAAATGAGGGAAAGGAAAGAGAGAACACGTGACTGATAAAAAACCATTCGATGTCTAAAGCACGTAACACATAACATCGATAAGTACAATCGAGAATCGAAGGAATAGTCAAATGCCTATTGTCGAAACCTAAGAAACTAGAATGATAAGACATTAAGGTTGAAAAGGAATCGTAAGCAATTCGAAGTTCTCGAAAGTGTAAAATCGAAAATGAAGAAAGCTAACCTACACAGACATCGAAAACCTTGGCCAAACCATAAAGAGAAGAGTAAGTCAAGTGCACGGATAGAGAGCAGTTTCTAAACCATGGAGGAAATCAAAGATCGTGAGAACGTGGAAAACAGTAGGAGATAAACCGCCATATGCACGTAGAACGTGGTAGCAGTCGTGTTAACTGCTCTTGGAAGACTTGAACGATGCACTATAAATAGAGCAAAGAAGGAAAAAATAAAAGGGGGAGCAGAAATTGGCAGAGAACAGAATCAGTAGTGAAAAGTCTACCGGAGAAACAACGAACACCATGAAGCTTCTGGCAATCTGGATTTCCTTGCTCACTGAGTACATTTACCGCTTTCTGTATTTTCCTTGGTAATTTATTTTGATGCAACTTAAATTTAGCAGTTTTATCTTTCTGTGTTTTCAATTCTTTGTCATTTTAATTCAATGAAAGTTTAAATTTCTGTATTTACGATTTCCTGTTATTTAACATTTTGCAAATCTCGATTTCCTGTCATTTACTCTTCGTGCAATCTCGATTTCTTGTCATTTATATTTGCGCTGTTTTCGATTTCTTGTCATTTACAATTAATGCAAATTTGGGGTTTTCGCACTTTACATTTCCTCGCAATTTAATATTCCGTTTCTCGATTCGATACTTTTTACTGCTTTCGACATTTTGAAGATAAAATACTAAAAAATAGCATTTTGATAGTCTGTGACTTTCGATTCTCATACACATTTTCGATTGAAAATCAGACTGCTAGCCTAAGTAAGAAGAACTTGCGTGGGAGGATTTTTGATTAGGACCAAATCACCTTTAGAATCGAAATCGATCGAAATTCCACCAGAAACAAATTGGCGCGCCAGGTAGGGGTCTCTTGTGTTGAGAGACACAAAATTGGTTAGTTCGAGAGTGTATGAGATTAAGGAGTGGGAGAGTCATGAGTCAGAGTTCATCAAGTAACCAGAGTAATAGTGATGGTCTAAATGGTGTACATTCATCAAATATTGGGGGGCAAAGTCAGAATCGGAATACACCTGTAGTATCGACAACTGTAAGTATGTCG